TCAGTTTTTGATGAAGTAGCTTATTTATCCTTGTTAATATGAATATCACCTTCTTTCTCCGGAATCTAGGAAGTAAATAATGATCCTCAGAAAGGATTCTGCTGCATAAGGATGTACTCAAGTAGCTGGATTTTGTATTAGAAATGAGAAGTTTAATATGTGCTTTGAATGCCTAGAACTTCATTAAAGGAGCCCTTGTAAAAGAGAGAGAAAGGGAAGGGAGAGAGAGAGAGAGAGAGAGGGAAGGATGGAGAGAGAAAAACTATCATTGAGTGTCAATCTGTTTCTATCTCCATGTGCTCTCCATGTCCTGGGAGCTTGTTTAGCTCATGACGTCTCTCTGTAGGCGCACATGCTAGTCATTAGAGTGAAACTCCTCACCAGCCTGCCTTTCTATTGTGTTCTTCATGCTGGTTGTAGCGAGGCCCCCACCCTCATGTCTAGAGCATCTTGTAAGACATGCTCTGCTTGATGAGCTATAGTTTAATCCAAACAGACAGGAAAGACCCTGGGGGATTTCTCATTCCTTTCATTCTGGGGTGGTCATTTTTATTACTGCAAACACATGTTTGCAAAATGCGTATTACAGCAAATCTGCTATGGCTTGAGGGCTTTGCATACTTCCTCTCTTTCTTAGGCAGACATTGTCATGGTACACTTTTGGTATCATGAAAAGGAAAACATAAAGAATAATCTTCTACATACTTTAAAATATTTGGATGTGTGGATTTGTCATGACAGATCATCCCAATACTCTGAATTATTCTCAGATATGATAAACCATCAGGGGCTATGCTTTTGACAAAACTGCCTTGACATCCCTTTATGCTCATCTCAAATGAGGAAGAGTTTGGGTTTTTATCCTAGATTCTGAGTCATAGGCAAATATTAGAATTGACCCTGTTCTATTGCTTGTAGGAATGACATGACACTGATAAGTTGGTCTCCTAAAAGAGTAAAAAGTCTTGTAAGAAGAGTAAATTCTAAAATCAGAACTAGTTTTTCTCATCCGAAATGAGACTTGAGAAATACTCTGTCGACAAATAGACATGAAATTATGCAAACCATCTTACATGTGTTCAAGAGAAGAAAGAGGTAAAAATCATGTGGAAGATAAGAATTTAGATTTATTTAAAACCTGAAAAACTCATCCAAGTAATGTATCTTCCTAAGAATATAGAAGATACAGTTGAACATATTTTATATGGAGCTATTAGCATTGCGCAGATAGCCACAGATATTTAAAGTCTGAATTATATTTCATAAAATATGTTATTAGTTTGCTAGGACAACTCTGTCAAATGCCACAGGTTGGGTGGCTCCAGCAATAAAAGAATATCTCTTACAGTCTCAGAAGCCAGAAGTGCATAATTATGGTATTGGGAGCTTTTCCGTCTTCTGAGACTACTTGTAGGCTTGATATTTGCTCTCTTTGTTGTGTTCTCACATGTTTTTTTCTGTGCAGGTGCATATCTGTGCTCTAATCTCTTATATGCAATATCTTTTTATAAATCTTACTGAATTAAGGCTCACCTGTGTCATCTCATGTTCTGCCTTACTTACCTCTTTAAAGGTTGGCTTCCAAACATAGCTGCACTCTGAGACAGTGCTTCAACATAGGAATTCAATATATGAATTTGGAAAGAAACACAATTCTACCTATAACATTATCCCTCAGACATATTTAATCACAAACTACCTTTTTCACATTAAGGTCTTTCCATGATAATAAGCTTTCTCTAAAATAATGTGTTTAATGGATGCAAACCATTACATGTATATATGCAACCAATTAAGTTGAAACACTTCTATATTGCCTTCCTCTTTCAGTGGTATTAATGAACAACTAATATCATCAACAATGAGATCTTTTAAACAATGCTTCAATGAGTAATTTTGTGTGATGACCCACCCTCCCCCCCAAAAAAAGAAAGAACATAAAATGTGAAATTGTTAGGACCAGGTCAAAATTAATACAGTATTGATTAGATGAAGGAAGAAGCAAATTTAACTGGGCCCAACAAGTTCCAGGTAAACAGAGAAATATAGTTACAGACCCTGGGAATAGAACAAGACTGTGGTCTAACACTTACTGAAACTTGACCATTTGTTAATTAAGAATAGGGCCAAATGTTAAATTTCAAAGATAAAGGCTTCAGTAGAGAGTGAAGCACAAGAGGATGCTGGGCTAGGTATCTGCATTTCTAAGGATGGCTTGTCTCACCTCCAAGCTATTTGGGGAGGTCCTGAGGGACCTGGAGCTGAGTAAACAGCTCCGATCTCCAGCCTGGGCACCAGGATTTTGACAAGAAATTATCTAGGCTCAGCCACCTTACTTTGCTTTGATGACTTATTGCCTTGGTTACTGGAATTGAATCGCCATTTGTTCTGCTTTCGTAACTTTCTTGTCTGTTATGAAACTGCTGCTGACCACTTGTCAGTGGCCCCCTTATGGATCCTGCCTTTAAATACCCTGAGCTATTGGACTTCACTGCTGGTCTTCACTGTCTTGATATAGTGGCGGTCAGTCACCCTGGTTATTAAAAGATTCCTAGCCCAACTGACTGAGTGTTGGTGACTTCTTTCACTGATTGTGGGTTCAAGTCACACCGGCCCCAGGAAGTTGGGATATTCCATTTGTAATGTCTTTTCCCATGAGTCTAGTTATTTTCATACTTTAATCTTCTGGAAATGGAACTACTAAGATAAACAAGAAACAGGTTTTAATATGGTTTCTCTGATGACCAAAAGATTGCAACAATTACACACATATGGGTAGCATACAACAGTTCTCATTTCTTATCTGAAATTTCACCCTTATTATCATCTAAAATCATTAATCATTTGCTTTTATTGCTTGAATTTGAATTTCTTTAATTTCTAGTACATTGCATTCTTTGTTCATAAGTTTATTCATCCTTCCTGCTTCTTTGTTGTTTTTCTGATCATTCTAATCATCTTCTATGATTTCCAATTTTATGTTTAATCCTTTTTCTATAATTTATTCTATTTTATTTAAATTTGGATAAAATAGTGCATATTATATAATCTGTTTTTATAATAAACCTGTTATATATTTGTGGGTTTGAGTTCTATTTTTCATGCATATAAGTAAATACATATACATATGTATATATTATATATATTTCTATATCTATATATATTTGTGTGTTGTAGTGGGATTTGAATGCAGGGGTATGAGCTTTTCAGGCATATTCTTACCATTCTTTACATCCTTGTATTATATATTTTCAAGCATTTATTCCTGTGTGTTTCATATTAGATAAGAATTTTCTAACCACTGGGTTAATTTTCCTTACAAAATTATGTTTTATTTCCTTATGCCAAGTATTTATGGAGAAGAAGGATTGGATTGAAGTTCATTCTTTTCCCCTTGGCATTCAAATTAGAATTTCTTAAAATCTTGTTCTTTCATTTTTATGCTAGCTTTTTAGGTACTTTTGTAATTACCTACAGAGCCTATAAGTGGTGGGGCACAAGGTTATTGGCATTTATTTGAGTAAATATGTTTTCAGTTTTAGAAATAGCTTTAATTTTATTCTTTTCTTAAACATTACTTGTAAATCGATTCCACTTTGCTGTTAGGGGAGACTATTTCAAGTTACTAAGATCAAATATCTGATGTTAATATATTGTACAATCTTCATAGTTGCAAGCAAAGTCTTTGATGTTAACATAATTTTAGCTCCGCTTGATTTTTAAAGACAAATCATTCTATTGGTTTCTTTTTTGAAATATGTTTTATTATCTTTTTTGTTGTTGTTGTTGTTGGTCATGGGGCTTGAACTCTGGGCCTGGGTGTTGTCCCTCATCTCTTCAGCTCAAGGTGAGCACTCTGCTGCTTGAGCTACAGCACCACTTCCGATTTCCTGGTGGTTTATTGGAGATAAGTGTTTCAAGGACTTTTCTGCCTGGGCTGGCTTTGAACCAAGATCCTCAGATCTCAGCCTCCTGAGTAGCTAGGATTACAGGCGTGAGCCATCAGCACACAGCTGTTTTATTATCTTTAAGTAGTTGTACAAAGGAGTTGCCATTCAACAAACCAGTCTATGAATACAATGCATCTGGATAAATCCCACCCCTTTCAGGGAGAGGGATTGATACAATCTTTTGTTCATAGGCTATAAGCTATGTTCTGTAAATATGATCTTTAAGCAAAATATCCCCTCGCACGCCCCCCCGCCCCCCAGCTCATTGCTCTACCTCCTTCCAAACTATAGTTGGGCCAATTCCTGCTTCTCTTGTTTGGAAAGGACTCCTTCGACCACTCAGCTACAAGTTAGAACACTTCAAGAATACTTCCACAGCCACAGTATTGTGCTTCACTCATTTATCACTTTAATTAGCAGTCCCTACTCTCACCACAAGGTCTGTGACTACTAAGGCTGCATTCAATTTGTTTCCCATCATAGATCTAGCACTGCAGAATACTTGGCATAAACATGTGATGATAAACAAACAAACCAATGCTGAGTGACTGAGAACAGGGTAATATTTGACAGCAAGCCAAAAGCTGATATCAATTAGATACCTAACTTCACTGTGAGGGAGGGGCTTATATATGTATTTAGGTCTAGCATCTGTGGAGGAGTGCTGGGGCCCAAAGATGGGGAGCCTATAGACTTTGCTGCTCTGAAGGATGGAATCTGCATGTCATCTGTGAGAAATAGAAGCTCTGACCCTGTAAGGGTCAGGAAGGGAGCCTGAGGAATCATTCTCTTTACTAGTGTGTCTATGTAGGAAGACACACACTCTGAGGTTAATGACAGCGTTAAGGACAAAGCAATTCTGTACTTGCAGTTGAATATATAGCTTTGGCCTCCTTCAGCATTGCTCATCCTTGGCCTTCCTTTCTGTCAATACCAGACAAAAACACACTTTTATAGATCATCATTGAGTTTATTTAGGGCCAGGTTTCCATACTGGTTGTTATGAGTGACCCTAGATTCTGTTTTTTGTTCCTTTCACTCGCTCTGTAGATTTATGCATATGTCTTCGAGAACATCAAGTCAGTCCGCCTGGAAGCTGTGCTCTTATCCTCGCTGAGCATTGTGGTCTTGGTGCTTGTCAAAGAGCTGAATGAGCAGTTTAAAAGGAAAATTAAAGTTGTTCTCCCTATCGATTTAGTTTTGGTAAGTATGAGATCAACTTTCTAACTAACTGCCATTGAGTCCTTGGCAGTTGTTGGGGTGATCTGCAGACGCTTACGGTATTGTCTGCATGAACCCACAGCCCCTCCTGTGACTCATTAAAGAAGGGCTAATTTGCGTGGCTATACATTAATGTAAGAACAGGAAACATTGTGAGTCAACAATTTAAAAAGGGAGGCAACACATGTTTTCAATTGATACAGGATTTTTTCATGTGCTTTTGATTTTTTGTTAATATAAATAAGATGACAAAGCCTACAATCTCATAAGGAGACATTTCGAAGGGTAAGACTCAGGAGATCTCTGGCATGAGAAAGCAATGAAGTGCGATAGTACAACCCATTGATCTGACACCTAGACAGTGTACATAGAAATACTCTCAATTATAAAATGACAATGAATGATTGGCATGTCTACTTATATTATGTTTACTGACTTGATTTTACTTTAGTGAAAGGGCGCTCCTGGTTTTCATTAAACAGGACTGGCTCTTTAAAATAATTTTTTGTGTGTTTGTGCATGGAGAACCCATATATTATATCATACTCCTAACGCTTATGGCATCATGTATATGTATATGCTTATGTGTATATGTATGCATAAAAAATTTAATAGCGTTTAATGGGGACTTAACAAAACATTACATTGAAAAACAAAAAAATTAACACAATCATAATCTACTAATGTACCATTTTATTGGATTTAGTTATTTTCTTAATGCTTTTTGGATTATGCATATGTATTATAAATGGTGTCTGAATGATTTCGTCTGTTGAAATATCCCTTTATAATGCTGGTTATACTATAGGATTTTGTTCATTATTCAAGGTAGCACACTGGAAGCCGCCTCTGAAGGACATGACTCCCAGAACTCATGGCACAAGTCCCCAGGCAGGCCTTAATACTATAGACAAACAAAGCAGGTCTGTTTTCTACCTTGACTGATACACCATGTATCTAAGTGACGACTTGACAGCCAGGTTGAATAGAGAATTATTCTGCTTCTTTGAGCAGTTGGAATGTTGCAGCCTAAGGAGACCCAACCTCTAGGCTTGCTTCTCTTCCCACTCCAGGTGTTTCCCTCACAAGTAGATGCATGGGTAAACATGTGGATACTCTGTCCCCAGAGTCCAAATGCCAAATATCCCATACCACCAATGCAACCAACCTGCCCCTTTTCTTGGGCTACTCTGGAAGATGCTCAACAAGCAGCCTGAGAGCCATTTAAACAGGAAATGATAACCCTAGACATAAAGCGCATGGATTAGAAAGAGCAGCAGATCTGACTTGCACATTTCTCCTGACCCTACAAAACTTCCGTGGTATGGGGAACGTTGCAGTTGTAGATGGGCTAGATTGCAATGCTCTGTAGCACTGGATGCCTGTTCTGTGTCCTCTCCCTCAGGTTCAAAGGCAGAGCTGGCCTTAAACACATACATGTAACAGACATAATGTTGAAGATGGTCCAATCAATCACTCAATGGATAAAGAAAATTTAATTATGTTAAAGAAATACAGCAAGGAAGACAGTATCTGAAAGACTTAATTCAGTCACTTAGAAAAAATACTATTCTATCCTAATATTTATATAGTTTTCACAGTATACCTGAATGGTTTTGTTATTTTTCTCTCTCATTCTTTTACAAATCCTTGAGGACATTTTATTTTTTAGGGTCATGTGATATTTTAGAAATGTCTGCAAGTTCAGAAATGCTCAGATAGGAAAGAAATTACAAAATGCTATTATTGGCCATTGATTGTTAGATTTTTTTTGTGTGTTGTTGGTATAGTTTGCTATAGTTTTCTTTTCTTTTTTTTTTTTTTTTGGTTGTGGGACTTGAACTCTGAGCCTGGGTGCTGTCCCTCAGCTCTTCAGCTCAAGGCCAGCGCTCTACCACTTGAGCTACAGCGCCACTTCCGGTTTTCTGGTGGTTTATTGGAGATAGGAGTCTCACGGTCTCTCCTGACCAGGCTGGCTTTGAACCGCGATCCTCAGATCTCAGCCTCCTGAGTAGCTAGGATTATAGGCGTGAGCCACCAGCGCCTGGCTTAGTTTGCTATAGTTTTCTTTGTGAGCATGCATACAGTAATTTTTTTGCTTTAAGTAGATAATTAGTTTGTCTTTTAAACTATGGCAAATTGATATCCCAACCATGTTAAAATTATCAGAGTGAAAAGATAATAAGAAAATAGGTTAAAAAATTAGGATGATGTAGTTGGTAAAGCAAGGGCTGAACTGCCTTTGGTTTGTGTTTTAAAGATGATTAGTCTATGGGTATGGACAGAGAACCTGTGACTTGCTTATAAACCTCACTAATAGCCTGGAAGATTTCTGAGACTTCACAGAGGTCATTAAAATTTATAAAACAAAAGGGGAGGAGAAGAGAAGATGGTAAGCAAGACTAGAATAGTTGAATATGACACAACATATGTAACACAACAAATCCCTTTACTTTGCACAAATAGTATATGCTAGTTTAAAATATTGGGTCCAAACCAGGTTGTGAACTAGCATGCTTCTACCTCAAGGAAGAGTCATTTTTCAAAATTCAAAAATCTTCAAAGGGGATGGAATCATTGATGGTTAACATAAATTGGGAATAAGAATTCAATATCTCAATCTCTTGAGACATTGTTGTCATATGTATTGTTTTATAAAGCCTCCCTCTGGATTGTGAAAGACAAGTGTTTAGTTTGGACTGTGGGATCTGAACATACACATAAACACACTTACACACAATGTACAATTATATAATCCCGTATTCTGCATTTTGTTTCCCTTCAAAATTGGCCATAACTGTGTTGACATAAGGTATAATAATAGAAGAGCTATTATAATAATAGAAGAGCATCACATTTTGAGACCATAAATTATATGCTTTCATTTTTATAAATATATTTTTCACAAGACAATATGTTAGAAAAGAACTTTACAACTTGGGGGGGGATGGAAAGGAGGAAAGTTGGAGAAAAATGAGGGAGGGGTAACAATGTTCGACAAGAAATGTACTCATTACTTTACGTATATAACTATAACCCCTTTGTACCCCACCTTGACAATTAAATTAAGTTAAAAATAATTTTACATAGCAATTGCACAATTGTGTGTGGTACATTATTATGTGCAAATATTGTGTGAGATGTAGTAATCAGATGTGTCATGTCAAATATTTATAATTTCTTTGTATTGGGAACAGTACAAATCTTCTCTGGTAGCTATTTTCAAGTGAAATATTAATTATTGTCAACCACGGTTATCTCACTGTGCTACAGAACACCAGAACTTATTCTTCCTATCCTACTGTGCCTTTGTACATGTTAATCATCTTCCCTCTACCTCATCTTCCTGAATTTTCAAGGCTTGTTTACTTATTTGAGACAGGGTCTTAATGTTGGTCTCAAGCTCACATTTCTCCTGCCTCAGCCACCTGAGTTAATGGGATGATAAGTGTGTACCCCCATGCTTGGCTTGCTTTTTTTAATGTTTTACTAATTAATAAAAATACATGTAATGACTGCATTCTTCTTGTAATTATGAAGCATACGATATTTACTTTGAAATGTTTTAAGGTACTTAAAAGGCTAGTAATATGTATCTTTTTTCCTTTCTTCAAATGGAACAATACAGATTATCGCTGCAACATTTGCTTGCTATTTTACCAATATGGAAAGCGCATATGGATTAGAAGTCATTGGTCATATTCCCAAAGGGTAATGTAGTTTTTCTTTTCATACATTATTTGTTGGTTTGTTTGTGTTATGATAAGGCAGAAGCTAGGGGAGGGGTTGGTTGTTGAGTATGCATTTCATTTCTTTTTTGTGCCTGTATGAGAAAATTCTAAGAAATTTCTTTTATAAATGATAGAATAAAACTTAAAAAAATTGTTTTATTATAAAGATGCTGAACAGAGGAGAATCAAACTTTTCTAGTAACATTTGAGGCCATAAAAACAAAATGTTTTATATAACATCACTCCAGGTAAAGAAATTCAGACAAGATTTATAAAAATAGAATTTGGAGGGAAAAAAATTCAAGGGAATTGCATTTGCAAATTAGAGTCATGCTATTGGAATGAGTTTCTCCCGCTCCTCCCCCCACCCCATATTCTTTTGCCTATTTCTATTTTATTAAGATCATGGTGAAAGTAGAAAGAAACATTTGAACAGAAGCACCCAGGCCTCAGCGGTGGAATTTAGTAGCAAGAGACGGGGAAGATATTGAGGAGCAAGTGTGATTACTTTCTAGCCTACAGCCTTCCTCTAGACCCAAGGAGAAATTTAACAACAAAGAAAATGTACACACTAAAAGCACTGTTCACTCTAAAAGATTGTTCCAAAATTAGACTGAAAAAAGAAGGAATATTAGGGGGAAAGGGGTGGTTTTCTTTTTTATTATCTCTCTCTTTAATGAGCTGTATGTACCAGACAGCGGTACACATAAAGATGAGAGAGCTATTGTTGTTGGGACCTCTATTTTTTTTTTTAAATTTAAACCTCATTTGGTTTCTAATGACACTCAAATACAGGAGAAGTAGACATTTCTTAAGGATTAAAAAAAACAAATATTAAAAATCCCCCCCCCTCCGCCACCCCTGCATTGTTACTAGCCTATGTTGGTCTGGGCTAAAGATTATTACCTGAATCAACTGGAATCTTCTAAAGGTGGCTCTGCTTCTCTGTCTTTCAAAGGTAACTTATCATTTTCTTTTCATGCCAATTACTGTTACTATTAGACACATTCAATTTTCATGAAACAAAAGTTCTTTATTCTTAGAAATCGTGGCAGTTTTATGACTTAAGACCTGTGATCATACAAATCAATAGCTCATGAGGATACACTTCAATAAATGGGTAAAAAGTCATGCCATTCTTCCAATCTCTACTGATTTCCCTTATTTGAAATGACCTTTCTAGAAACACCCTTTTAAAGTATCATAAAAATGAGCAAGGGTTTGAAGAGATGAAGCTGAGACTGAACCTCAGCTGGTTCATTTTGTTTGTGACTTTAACTGATAATGTTTTCTTTCTCCCTAAAGTGGTTATAATGGTGCTTTGTTTGAGGGTTTTGAGGAGAATAAAGAAATAGCTAATAAGAAAAGCCCAGCATGCTATTTACATACAAATATTAAATCAATATGAACTCACTTCCCTTTTTCTTTTAGTTTGCCAGAGAGAATTTTGTTTTGATTTGTTTGTTTTGGTAAACCTCCCAAAGAATCATCAGGAATTCATAAATGAGGACACTCTGGCTTAAGTGGTTTTCAAAGGGCTACAAGACAATGGCTGGGTATTATTTGAAAAATATTTTGGTCATTTCCTTAAAATGGAGCTAAGTGTTGTCATGTATTTTACAATACTGAGTAGATGGAATCTTCCTACATATTTTTTTCTTAACATGCGTAAGCCTTAGTTAAGTGCACTATGAAAGGGTTGAATTAAAAATGTAATTAAGATAAAGAAGTCAATGGCAATATTTAAGGATTAGCTCAAGAATCGCAGCCCACAGAAAATTAGTGTGCTCATAGCACTGCAGAATTCAAGGGAGGAAATGCATTCTCCAATGGCAGCCAAATAAATATTTGGAAAGGTTCAAATGAAAGAACATTTCCACATTTGCTTTTGTTTCTGATACAGGGACTTTCATTCTTTCTTTCCTTTCTTTCTTTCCTTCTTTTCTCTCTCCTTCCTTCCTTCCTTCCTTCCTTCCTTCCTTCCTTCCTTCCTTCCTTCCTTCCTTCCTTCCTTCCTTCCTTCCTTTCTCTTTTTCTTACTTTCTCAGAATTTCTGTGGTGTAACCTGAATTCTCTGAGCAGAAATGCCAGTTGGATACAGGAGGCTGACCCTGTGGGTGTTTCTTATAATTTTGCTTTCCTGCTAAATAATGTTGAAAATAAAGGGCTTCTGAGGGCAAGACAGTTTGGTTTTCTTGTGGGTGTTTTTTCACATAGCCTGTGTGGACCTTAGAGCCATGACCACAGCTGAGGGTTTGCAGGCTGTCACAGAAGTTACCTGGAGGCTGATGACTTCAGCATGGCTGTCTTTCTGCAGGATTCCTCCACCTCAAGCTCCCTCAATGGGCATCCTCTCTGCTGTGGTCACTGAAGCCTTTGGAGTGGCACTTGTGGGCTATGTGGCCTCCCTGGCTCTTGCTCAAGGATCTGCCAAGAAATTCAAATATTCCGTTGATGACAACCAGGTGCAGTATGCCTCTGTTGTAGCACTGTTCTGTGTGCAGTCAGATCCTGATAATAGACTTTGAACAAAATAGCTTTCCTACCTATGTGGCAGGAATGGATAGAACCCATTGGAAGAAAACTCTTTGTTTCTCATAGAAAGGTGAATAATCAGACATTCAGCCTCTATAAGTGCTTATATTTTAAGGGAGAAAGACACCCCTGATATTCTTTTGGTTTGTTTCTAGGACAGAATCCAAATATATTCATCATTGCAGGGTAAATATAAAAACTTATTTCAAAGCACAGTGCTAGCATTACTTAGCATTCTTAGTAAGACATCTAAGAATGTGAAGCATGAGTGCCTGCCTATCAACTAGTGTAGACTATACTTGTTACACATTATACTGCTTTACCCTCAAAATTTATAATAGAGATCTGAATATATTTGATATATTTCAGTCTTGCTTTAGGCCCCATGATCCTACAGGGCTAGAGATCTGAGGAAAAGCAAGCATGTGCTGGTATGGATACCAAATTATCTGAAATTACCCCATTCTTTTTTTTGGGGGGGAGGGGAGGTCTGGTCGTGGGGCCTGAACTCTGGGCCTGGGCGCTCTCCCTCAGCTCTTCAGCTCAAAGCTAGTGCTCTACCACTTAAACCACAGTGCCACTTGCAGCTTTTTTTCTTTTTGCTTATGTGGTGCTGAGGAATCGAACTCAGGGCCTCATGCATGCAAGGCATGCACTCTACCACTAAGCCACCTTCCCAGCCCCATCACCCCACTCTTGCTCACACTACCTGAACCTTATTTCTCGGCGTATATCGTTTTTCTTATCTGTAAAGAGTAGATTTTTCGGGCTGGAGTGTAACTCAGTCGCAAAATGCTTACCTAGCTAGTGCAAAAAAGAAAAAAAAGACTTGACTTATCCATTCTATGGTGTATATTTAGGGTCCTATATGTACTAGATACTGACTTAGGTACAAAGGAAAAAAAAGGTGAGCAACATAGACCATACCTTTCCTCTACTTGAAAATTTATTGTCCCCACCGCTCCCCCCACCCCCGACAATATGATTAAAAGACTCATTCTTTTCAGCTATTCAGAAAACAGAGGAAGGAGAATTCTAGTAAGCCTTCATACCTGGGCAAAAGCAAGAGACCTCATAGAAAATAAGCTGAAAAGCACAAAGGACTGTGGATCATGTCCCAAGTGATAGAGTCTGCTCTGGCAAGTGCAAGGCCCTGAGTTCAATGCTCAATACTGCCAATAGCAATCATCATCACCATCACCATCATCTTCATCATCATCTCATTGTCATAGCTTACAAGGATATACAGTTCCTACTGTAGTTCTTCTTTGACATATCTCTATTATAATATTTTTTAGTGTAAAAACAATTTCACTAACAGGAAACTTTTTTCCCCCACTACTCATATATATCTCCTCACTTTCCTTTGCAAGTTATGCTTCTGCCTTAGGACATTTGCGTGTACTATTCCTTTGCCAGGAATTTTATTCTCTCAGATATCTCCGTATCTCTTTTATGCTTTCTCACATAGGCTTTCTTTGCCAACCTAAACTCTTCTGTTTGGTGGTGCTGGTGTTTGGACAAGGACGTGTACTTGCTATTTTAGCTTTCTACTACTTGAATAACATTCCAAGTCATTTTTCCTTTAGTTATATTTTGAATCATGTCTCATGCTTTTGCCTGGTCTAGCCTAGACCACAGTCCTTCAATTTATTCCTTCTTTGTAGCTATGGTGTCAACCATGCACCAACATGCCAAGCTATGGATTGAAATGAGCTATGGTTTGCTAACTTTGATCTCAGGCTAGCTTAGAACTGTGGTCTTCCAATCTTTGCCTCTGTAGTTGTTGGGATTATTAGAAGTGAGCTAGCACCACAGGCTAAGCTCTTAAATTCTAGATTTTTCTATTCCCTCCTCTGGTTTATTTTCCATATTTATGTTGTTTATAGTCTTCATTGCCGGAGCAGAACCACATATCCTCTCTATGATATGATCATTTGTTTCTGGATGTCATGATGACAAAGAGAAGTGTATGGAAACTGACTGGATATAAATGTCATCTGGGAAAGAGAGTCATGATAGAGTCCTGATTAATTCTGAAGTTTTGACTTTAGTAATTGGGATGGCATAGGAAGAAGAATTAGGGAGGATCTGGCAGAGATAGTACATATGTGTAACTCAAATTAGAAGGGTGATAAACCTATTAGACACCAAATCCAGATGTTAAGTAAAGAAAAAAAGTTGAATATATGAGTCTGAAGTTTCAAAAGGTGGTCTAAGCTGTTTGATATAAATTTGGGCTCTGTCAACATGTATTTGAGTAGCTAGACATGCATATGCAAAGAGAAATAGTTCAATGATTGCTGTTGAGTGTGGTCAGAGAGGTAGTAAAAAACTAGAGAAGTCTGAGGTCATAGAAAGTAAGTAAAATAATCCTTACAATGGAAGAAGTGTGTTGGGCATATGTTATTCTAGCTACACAAGAGGCAAAAGGCAGGAAGATCAAGAATTGAAGGCCAAAGATCCAGGGGAGTTGCTCAAGTAGTAGAACATTGACTTAGCATGCAAAAGGTCCTGTATTTCATTCCCAGTACTGGAAAAGGAAGGAAAAAAAGGAAAACAGTGAGCACCTGTTTTAATGGGGTGTATGTGTGGAAGAGGTAACATTGATCAAGATGCTTTGTACATATAAATTAACATATTAAATTGAAGTCTTTTATACACTTTTTTAATACAATTTTGTTTTTTATTGAGGGGTTACAGTTAAGTAACTGGTTACCCCATCCCTCATTTTTTCTCTCACTTTCGCTCCCCCTCAACACCTCCCCCTCAGTTGTACAGATCATTTCCAACATATTGTTTGTGAGTATTGCTGTTGCATTGGTTCCCCCTTTGTCCTTTGTCTCACCATTTTGTTGTAGTACAACTTCTTAAAGACAATAAAAAATGAAGAGAGGGAAGACATCAGAGAACTACTTAAATATTTATTTCTTTGTAGGGTAGTTATAAGAATCGAATGCCTCGAGCGCTTTAGAACAGTTTCTGTCTCATTGCCAACACTCAGTACATGTGAGATCTTTTTTCATGAAAAAAAATGATAACTCACTACTAGTGAGAAATTAGAAGTCAATCACCTTACAAGTTACAGTTGGTTTGTAAAGTAGACAAAGTACAGTGGATTTGTAAAGGTTGGTTGTGATTTAGAAATGACCCGTCCTGCTCTGTTATTAATCCTGTAGGAATTGTTGGCGCATGGCCTGAGCAATGTGATTTCTTCATTCTGCTTCTGCATACCAAGTGCTGCTGCCATGGGAAGGACGGCTGGCCTGTACAGCACAGGATCAAAGACTCAGGTGACAAATGTCCCCTGTGTGAAAAGTACATGTGTGAGCTCGCAGAATCATGAAAACATTTCCAGCTCTTCCAGTAGTGCTGCACTGCTTCTAGAAAGTCATTCTGTCTCTGTTTCTGTCTCTTTCCCTCACTCCTTTCCCCCTCCTCTACTCCATTCCCTTCCTCCATTCTTCTCTCCCTTTCTCCTTTTCTCCTTGCTTCCTCCTCTCTCTCCATCTCCCCACTGCTTCTGAATGTTTCTTCTGGAATCTGACTGATGCAGAGAACAAACACATCTGTACAAATGGCAGCTTAATTGTTCAGTAACCTTTGAGACCAATGCGCCCTCTAGTGGTAATTTGGATTTTTTCCTTTGCGCTAAACAGTCAAGATGACAATTTTCTAGTTTGTGTACTTTCTTTACATAAAATTGACTTTATTATATGCAAAATAAGTCCCTGGCATGGAAATTCCTATGTATAGTGATGAATCAAGATAAAACTGGAGGATACAATGCCTGTGAATATTTTAGATTATATAATTCCTGTGAATTAATAATAATGCCTGTGAATATTTTAGATTATATAATTTGAGGAAATAAAAATAATTTATTAGGAACCTGCCATAAAGTAGGATGTGGCAAGACTGTTTTCTAGTCTCGGTTGGTTCCTCCATCTTGTTGAGGGCTCTTGAGCATTTTACTTGACATATGCTCAGAGAAGTTTGGACTAGAAACATCCCTGAGATGTTTCTACCCTGAATGTATTCCATCTCTGGAGTTTCCTTAGGCATTGACCATACTTTCTAATTACTAGTTTACTAACAAGGAAACCCCCTGATTAATTTCTGTGACTTTCAACATCAAATGTCTAAAATAAAGAAGGCCTTGAGAAGGTTTCTACTTATTTAAGAAAATCAGAGTTGGTCATAAATGTGTTTAATTAGGAGGGCAGGGAGGAAAGGATGGTCTTTTTTTTCTCTGTCCTAGAGACCACTTATTTGAATAAATATAGCAGCAAAAATTCCCCTAAGAACTTTTAATTAATAGAGTCTTTTCCCTGCATAGTATTCTGTTTGTCACACTTTCAAAGAAATGAAAGAAATCTAATAAGACACAAGTTCAGGAAAATACAACTTAGGTCACAGGATATTTTCAAGATAGAACTATGTTGATTAGGATGGTCATTAATATAATAATTCCTACTAAGATGCCCAAGAAGAAAATCTGATTTCAACAGTGCTTTCCCGTTGTTAGACGTTTAGACCCTTCACATTACCCGTATTAAGTTGATGTGGGTATCACTGATAGCTGACATGGTTTGAAGAGAGCCAACAATTTAAAACCTTGCTATCAATAGACTTGTATGTAAAAAAATGTTTCTTTTAAAAGTTGTTTATTGTTATTGTAAAGGTGATGCACAGAAGGGTTACAGTTACATAAATAAGATAAAGAGTATGTTTCTTTGGGAACAATGCCACCCCTCCCTTATTGTCTCCCAGTTTTTCACCACCTACAAGTTGTAGAGTTCAAGTGTCCATGAGTACCACTGCTGTATTTGTTCAACCTTTGTGCCGCTATTTCTGTGCCTCGCTTTGCCCTTCCAAAGATAGATAAATAAACAAACAAGACAAAAGGAAATGAAAACAAAAACAGCAACAAAAATATTTCTTTTAAATGTGAAATAATTTTATAAAACTATCTCTACATTGGCTTAAGGACTGGACCTACACTTCAAAATTAACCTAGAAAACACACACATAACACAAATGCATAACAAGATTAATGACAACCATTAAAGCATGTGTTAGCTACATTATGTGTGTCAATGAATTTACCAACTGATATCTTTATAACATTCTCACAGAAATACTGTAATGTAAAAATTCTTTGGAATTATGTTTATAAGGTAAGGGGTATGGGTAGCACAGTGGTAGTGCATTTGGTTAATGTGCACAGGACCCTGAGTTTGATCTCTAGCACTGTAGGCCAAACCAAACAGAAATAACAACAGAATATGTTTTTAACCAGCAACTGTGATCATTCTATTTCTTGCTTAAAACTTTGCACAGGGCTCAGAATTCAGATCGCTCCATAGCTTCTGAGGCTCTGAATGTTTGAAGCACAGTGTCTTTTGGACTCTTTTTCACATCATTGGTCAGTTTTCTGTACACTGTCCTTCCTTGTCCCTGTGAGCTCTGCTTTCCAGGGATCTGCCATCCTCTTCCCCTCTGAGCCAATTCCTCTCAGCCTTCACGTTTCACCATCTCCCCTGCCTCATGTGTGCTACTTTCCTTCAGAGTCCTGGGAACTGTTGGATAGTGTTCATTCCTGTGATCCTCTGACTCACGTCTGCCTTCTATTATTGACCTAAAGCTAGTAGAGAGCCTGACTCAGCCTGCCCTGCTTCACATTATCCACCATGTTGATCCCTGGAAAGGAACATTGGTGCCAATGCACTGTTATGAAAAGAATATGTGAGAAAAGTAGTCAATGATTACAAAAGATCAGTATACATTTTGCTGTCATTGAAAGAGACAGATGAAACCAGGCAGCTTTTAATTGTCATTTAGTTCAGCACATTTAGAGTTGGGAAAATGTCATTTTTCCCCCCAGCCCCATTTTAAAATTTTAGTATATACACATAGCATAAAATTGACCACTTAGTGATTTTAAGTGTATAGTTCCATAGCAGTAAATATAATACCACTGTGCTTAAAGTTATTTGTTAGCATCTAGAAGTAGTACAAGATAATTTCATTTTGACATGCACACATAACCTTCGATCAGACTCAGCCCTTCCGTTACCCCTCTTCCTTCTCCTTTGTCCCCATCTTCCCAAACCCAGCTGCACCCTGGTTCCATTTCACTCATATACAATTGAGAAACAGGCTGAGGATCAAACACACTAGAGAAACACTTGCATTAGAGATAGGAGCTACTCACATCATTTAAATTACCTAGTACTTTTTTAAAAAGTAGAAGAAACGAAGGAAATTCACATGAATGCTGTCATTTAATTTATGAACAGATTCCTTCAGCATGGACTCTAACTTCAAAATGATTCCCAATATTTTTACATTTTCCCCCCTTGGTGCTTCTCTGGTGTAGATCTTACAACTGCAGCCTGCTTTCATAAGGCTGATCCGCAAGTCAGGTGCTCAGAAGCTACGTAAGATGATGTTACATAGTTAGGGTCATTTTCACACAAGTGAGTGTAATGCCTCTCAAAGCTGTAGGAAATCAAACTGGAACATTGGAGCCTCAACGTGGAAGATATGGATGTTTTCATAGCAAGTGCTGTGATCAAAGGCTCAGGCATACGTTTGTCCTCCAACTGTGGAAAGCTATCTTTTGGTTGGCTCTTGTAGATGCGACCTGCAAAGGCTGTATATAGGAAGATTTGGGACAAATAGCACAACTGAATGCTACCCTCCATCCCTCCCCCTGCCCCTCCCCTCCCTGAGTGGGAACGTGAACTGTGGGAGGAAGCTCAGTGTCCCCCTGCATGTTCCTCTTCACTTCCAACAGAGGAGACACCCCAGTTCTCCATGGGGACTTCTGGAGTCACCCAACGCCTGGAGGGATGCCACAGAGGCAAAGCCACAACTGAAAACAGCAGCTGGCACGTGGTTCTACCACGCTGAGATTGCCTCTGGGCTCTGATTTGCCAAACTGGATTCCTTTATTCTTTCACAATTGGCTCATTGCTTGTAACTTCCTTAAAGCCTTCTTAATCGAGCCCTACATACCTAAGGCTTTATTTTTTTTCTTTTCTGTTACCTCTCCTTTACTAGTGCAGTACTTCACACACACACACACACACACACACACACACACACACACACTCATATATGTATATATCTCAACCTGCAATGTGTCCTGTGACAACTAGCTGAAAAGCAAACAACTGGAATCTCACATTTCCTCCTCACAACAACAACTCTGTGTGTGTGTGTGTGTGTGTGCGTGTACATTTGAGGAATACTAATGCCTTCATAGTCATCTTTATAGTAATGAGCAACATGCATACACCTGTAAATGCTATACATATACACATACATATACATCCACAATCTGAGGGTGAAATAAGAAGAAGGTATAGATGATCTCATTAAATTCTTCTGTTTGTGCTCACACTGTCCCTTACCTGTTTCACTCGAGGCTGGAGTTCTGTCACTGAGTCACAGCCACACTTCTGGATTCTTACTGGTTCATTGGAAATAAGAATCTGACAGACTTTCCTGCCAAAGCTGGCTTTGAACCATGACCTTCAGATCTTAGTTTCCTTAATAGGTAGGATTTCAGGCATGAGCCACCAGTGCTCAGCTTTTATGAACTTATGAGGGATTGTCAGTGTGATTATTTATAATTCCCAAACCAAAGGTTATCTCTGGCATGATATGGAAAGAGATGAAGATTCGAATCCCACAGCAGTGGTTGATCTATAGATAGAGGCTGTGGACACAGAGCCATACTGATTATAATGGAACTCTAAATGGAACTGATTAGAAGAAGTGAATTAGTAGTTTTCTTTATTTACTGATATTTAAAAGGACCAGGCTAAATATTATTTAGAGTAAAGCTTAAGATTGTTGTTGTATTTTTAAATAGGCCTATCTAGTTAAGTTGTTATTTCAGTAATGGTTTTAGTGTATGGTAATATATGCAGGACCTTTATAATATATTTGGTTTTTACTTAAGAGTATAGCATCAGGAAATCTCTAGCTTGTGAGAAACAGAAAAGCCAACGATCTGGCGCACTGTACCCAGCTGTGGGCTGTGGTGTGCTTACATTCTCTTCATCATCAGCACTACAAATCTCAGCTCCCAGTTCAAAGTCAGAGCCAACTTTGACCATTACTATTGATGAATGATGCTTATCCTCCTTCAAGGAGAAAAGAAAATGTTTCTGTTTTGTTTTTGGTGTGTGTGTATGTTCTGGTCCTGGGGCTTGAACCTGGATATTGTCCCTAAGCTTTTGTGCTCAAACCTAACACTCTTCTACTTGAGCCAGAGCTCCAATTCCAGCATTTTTGGTGCTGAATTGGAGATAAGAGCCTCAGGGACTTTCTTGCCTCGACTGGCTTCAAACCGAGATCCTCAGATCTCAGCTTCCTATGTTGCTAGGTTTACAGGTACCTGGCTGGAAAATTTTTAATACTGTGAAACAAGACACGATAGTAAGCAAATCTTTATTCAGTGTGTGTTTTGATGTAATTAAGACGTATCAACAGCACTGAAAAATATTTAAAACCTGGTTGTCACTTTAACTTTTTTCTGTTTCCATATCTTAAAGTTCCTTTTGATTAGCGTCATTTTATATGGTCATATAGCTGTGGTCATATAGCTTAATATAGTGATTGAGCTATTGTGATCTTCTTCTAGGACTATCCTAGACATTATTACTAATTATCCTAATTATTACCGTAACTTTTTTAAAGGAGAGAATTGAGGAGAGACAGACAGACAGAGATGGAGACAGAGACAGATACATAGAGAGGTTGGCCAGGTTCAGCAAGGCACCTTCTCAATCCCATTTTCTGCTGGCCAATGAATGTCTTCCTCTTGCTAAACATCAGCAGCTCTCTTTGGCAGTAGATAGAACAAATCCAAATCAATAAAATGATGCCAAATGAAACTTTCATTTTGAAATGAGAGAATAAATCCATACATTGTCACATAGTTTTTTGATGGTTCATATGCCCACATTGGAGTCAATAAGGAGATCAATCTGAAGAAATTTAAAAAAAAAAATCTGTCTTTGGTTTTCAGAGATCCCGGTACAAATTTCATGTTGATTTCATGACTTCTTAACTCGCTAGCTCTGGGGACTTCAGACAAGGTAGATTTCCTGTGTATGCCTCAGATCCTTCCATAGGATTTGACTCCTGTCTAAGTCCATCCCAGTTCCTAAGACTCTTTTCTGGTTTTGATCTCTGGTATAGTGTAAGTGTATGAGTAAAAATTCCACAAGGATTTGTGTCATTGACTTTTGTTTTGAAACAAACCTTAACAGATAGTATCTTTTTCTTTCTGTGTTAATGTGGATTTCCCAAGTCCCTTACTGAGCTATCTTGAGTGGGCCCTGTGATTTGCCTGCTCAGAAAACCCCTATGCTGGGTGTTTAGTCACCCACAAAACCCTCTACAAAATAGAGGGAAGTTGGGCAAAAGCAACAGCAGGCTAAAGAATATTCCATTGAATTACTATTTCCACTGTGTAGCAAGGACAGTCACAGCTATGATGTGTGACACACATGGCTGTTGTCTTATTTCTCTGTGTGGAGATGCTCTTCTCTCATCACTGACTTAATTTGATTGTACCAGTGTGTCAGCTGTCACCTATGGTTTGTCTCAGCTGCCCATTGAAATATAGATAATGACAGTCTATAAAATTTTACAATGATGTGCCAACATTTTGTTTTGTCTCATCAAAGTGAAGTAAGAATCACTCCCCTACCCCCAACAGAGCTTTGAAATAACAAAAAAAGTTCAAGGCTTTCTTTTTTTGTCTGTCTTGTATTTTGCAGGTGGCTTGTCTAATCTCTTGCATTTTCGTCCTTATAGTCATCTATGCAATAGGACCTTTGCTATACTGGCTGCCCATGGTACAGTAATGCTTTTTCACTATCTACTTTTTAACTTTTCATTAGAGTGCTTGTGTATAAAGTATCTTGGGAGGGTAAATTTAATAATCTGAAATTATCTTCCATAAACGCTAGCTGACTGAGGGTGTGGGTTGCAGAGAAACAGCATTTAATGAGGGAGGAATGGGAGGGTACCATGGCTGATTAATTCTTCAGCTCATGGATGAAGGTATCCCTGTGGAGTCAGTATTATTCTGTAAGCAAATGGAGGGTGGAAATAGAAATACTCTGCTGCAAAATGTAGATAATGAGGCTTTGTTTGTAGGTCAGTGAGGAGAATTTTGCCTACACTGCATGCGGCCTTGGTTCTCTTTTTAGCATTTCATAAACAAGTTGGGTACAAGTGGCTCACACCTGTAATTCTACTCAGGAGGCTGGACAGGAAGGTTTATAAGACTGTTATCTCCACTAAACTACCAGTAAAGCTGGAAGTGGTGATGTGGCTTACGAGGTAGAGTGTTAGCCTTGAGCAAAAGAAACTCAGGGACAGAGCCCAGGCCCTGAGTTCAAGGCCCAGGACCGGCACCAAGATAAACAAACAAATAAAAAAACCCAACAAAATACAAAGAGGAAGCAAAAATAAACTTTGGAAAAATTTTCTCAGAACTTTGTTGGAAAATTTACTGGTATAACAGTCTAAGGAACAAAATGGATCTTCCCATTCCTTGATATACCCTTTTTAGAGCATTACTGAGATAATACCAGTAGTTCACCTTGCTTTCGTAAGTCTGAAGCATTATAGTGACCATAGTTTAAGAATTTCATCCGAAGAGAGTCAATTTCAGTCCTTCATTTCTATAGTTTTTCACTTGTGCGCTAAGAATAAATCACTTTTACAGGATGATCTTTCATTAATCAAGTTCATTTTCTAAAGATATGAATACATCTTCAAATTAAGCCAGATAATTGATATTATAAAAATTAAAGAGGACATAAACATGTATTTTTTGCAACAAAGGTGTATCAGACCAATGATAATCCTTGAAGTTAAGGGAACACTAAGTCTTATAATATTTACTCCTATAATTCTTCATTTGTCTATTTGACTTCTCTGGTTTGTTTTACAGAATTTCTAAAGTTTTGTCCTGTGATTTCCTATATAATTGGTACGATATTCTTAAACAACATAATGAGTTATCTCCAAATAAGAAATTTTTTTTAGTCTTTTTATTGGTGACTGCTTTTCAGTATTTAAGAGCAAAAATAAGAATAGCTTGATTCTTTTGAATTCAGATGAAAGCTCTTATCCTATGTCTTCATCAAATTGCTATTTCTTTTTTGTAGTGTGTTCTTGCAAGCATTATTGTTGTGGGACTAAAGGGAATGTTAATACAGTTTCGAGATTTGAAAAAGTATTGGAATGTGGATAAAATCGATTGGGTAAGTAGAAATTTAACCAACAAGTACACTTTAATATTTTTTAAGTTTGGCCAGACTTTTTTTTTGGTTTGACCTATGCACATGTTGCCAAGAACATTTTAACATTTTCATTTGTTGAAAAAGATTCAGGTGAGACTAGTATGCTATGAATTATTGTGTTCTAAAAACTTAATAAAATTATTAGATACAAGTTGTTTTTATAAGAAGCAGATTTTTTCAAGTGCTGATGGACTAGTAGTTTGGAAACTTCGAACAGAATTTCTAACTAGTTTAAGTGGATTGGGGGAGCATGATTTATATTTTGAATTGATTCTGGAAGCAAGGTTATCAAGAAAGTGTACAGTGACAGAAATATCTTGATTTATAGCAATATGAATACCGAGCCTTTGGCATTTATTGCTGTCAAGGGATGCTACATGAATGCAGGCTGAGTCCTAATTGGTGACCAAATTCACCTGACACAATAGAAAGTCTTGGGCATTATCTTCCAAATGGGTTCCACTGAGGAAAAGGTTAGATTGCTTAATAAAATATTCCCAATTACCAATTAAATTTCACCGAACAACAACAAGATGTGCTTTTGATAAACACAAATGTTTAGCACACTTATATAAGCTTGTATAGACAAGAACATCCAAAATTCTCTCTAGTTAGAATATGTGAAATATTTCATGTACATCTCGGACGAGCTCGATTATGGAATCCATTGTAACATACTGGTCCATGCACTTTGTGTTTTAGTGCCTTTGTTCTGTGAAACTTTGGAGGATTACTTTTGCTCATGGTTAATTTCATAACACTCCTCTGAGGCTCTTATTTTTGAGCTCCAACTAGAGTCTAATTCTGAGTGAGGAATGTAGATATGAATAAAAAATAAACTGTACCTTCTAGATACTTAATGTGTAGAAAGCAGAAACACTAACATATGCATATATGATAAAACCTCAGTACATACCTAGTGCTAGGCAAAACAGGTAGAAGCATTACTACATACAGGTCAATATGAAAGCATCACCCACTGACTTGAAATATGAACTAACACCTGAAGGAATACTATTTGGTAGGTAGGTCGAAAATAGAATTAGCTAGGCTGCTGTTGGAATGTGGCTTTTATTAAAGCAGTAGGTATGAGGTAGCTCACAGAAACAAAGGGAAGAAAAAAGGCCTCGAATAGCAAAAACAATCCTTAGCACAAAGAACAGAGCTGGAAGAATATCAATACTAGATATCAAACGCTACTATAAATCAAAACAGCTTGGCACTGGCACAAGAACAGACCTGAGGACCAATGGAATAGAACTGAAGATTCAGAAATGAATCCATAGACCAATAGCCACCTAATCTTCTATAAGGGAACTAAAAAAGTAGAATGGAAGAAAGACAACCTTTTCAGTAAATGGTACTGGCAAAATTGGTTAATCACCTGTAGAAAACTAAAGCTAGGCGCTTATATATCACTCTGTATCAGAATCAACTCCAAATGGACCAAATATCTCAAAGTCAAAGCAGACACCCTGAAAACATTACAGGAAGGAACAGGAGAAACTAGAGCTCCTGGCACAGGCTGAAATTTTCTAAATAAAGACCCAGAAACACAACAAATCAAAGAAAGGTTGAACAAAAAGCATAAAATTGCAGAGTTTCTGCATGGCAAAGATCATAGAAAGCCCATGGATTTGGAGAAGATCTTCACTAGCCATATATCTAAAATATACTTAGAACTCAAAAACTTAAATCCCCCCAACACCAAATCCTCAAAGAAACAACTGCCCGATTAATAAGTGGGCTAAAGACTTAAAGAGAAACTTCTCCGAAGAGGAAAGAAGAATGGCCAATAGACACATGAAGAAATGCTCAACTTCTCTAGCCATAAAAGAAGTGCAAATCAAAACAAGATTGAGAGTCCACCTCACCCCAGTTAGAATGGCTATAATCAAGAACTCTAATAACAACAGATGCTGAAGAGGGTGTGGCCAAAAGGGAACCCTACTGCATTGTTGGTGGGAGTGTAAACTTGTTCAGGCACTCTGGAAAGCAGTATGGTCATAGAGGAAAAGCTCCTCTATGACCCAGCAATCCTACTTTTGGGAACTTGCCCAAAGCATCACAAACAAGGCCATACTCAAGCTACTAGCACAACTATGTTTATCACAGTATTATTTACCATATCTAAGATATGGAACCAACCAAGATGCCCCTCAGTATATGAATGGACCAAGAAAATGTGGTATATATACAGATATCTACAGATATATGTGTATATATATATATATATATATATATATATATATAATGAAATTCTATGCCTCCATCAGAAAGAATGACACTGCCCTATTTGTTAGGAAACGGAAAAACTTGGAAAAAATCATATTAAGTGAAGTAAGCCAGGTCCAAAAAACACAGGTCCCATGGTTTCTCTTATTTGCAGTAGCTAGTATATGTCTGAGACAAGCAGAAAAGCTAACATGCTGTGAAGATGATGCTAAGTGAACCCCAAGACAGGGACACAAGAGGTTTTATCTTTGTTGCTATTGTTTTTAATGTACTTATGATGTACTATGATTTTTTTGTTTCTTTTGTATGTTCTTCCCCCGTTTTCATTGCATTTGATTCCAGTAGCCTGCATCTTGTATATACACATTTTTCTAATTTAGGTAGGGGAAGGGAAATAACAAAATGCTAAAATAAGAATACAGGTTGACCCATTGTAACAATGAGATGTACAATACACTATGTTGAAAACTTTACTGCTTCGGGATGGAGAATTTGGGGAGTTAGGGAGCGAAGCGATAGTAGAGGAAAAACAAAGGAGTGAGTGACAGTACTTGATAGGAAATGTACTCATTACCTTACTCATGTAACTGTCACCCCTTTGTATGGTATCTTTACAATAAAAAATATATATTAAAAATTTTTAAAAAGAAACAAAGGGAAGAGAAGATTCAAACTTATTCTTAATCTTGTGCAAAGGTACTTCTAAGGAAGGTGTTATTCATGTAGGAGGAAGCAAAGAAGGAGAGAAAATGTTTGGTAAGACTTATTTGAGGAAGTGCTTTCTAAGTTGAGAATTGGAGGACAGAAAGATACCATTTGGGAACAGAAGACAACCCAGTGTGCAACAATATAGAGATGGTATGAGGATATCTGGCTATAATAAAATCAAGGACCAGACTTTGTGAGGATGGTAATAGTAACAGATGAGATTGAAAAAGTGAAATACAGGTTGAATTGAGAAAGACTACTTATACCCTGCAAGATTAAACTCCATTCTGAAACAGCAAAGCATCACTGAAAGGTAAAATAAGAATATACTTTCTATATTAGAAAAGTTAGGAAGATGAATGAAAGGCATAGATCAGACCCTATAAGACAATAGAGGAATTGCAGCATTACTTCAGTCAATGATCAAAGTTAAGACCATGACATTCTAGAGCAAGCAATAGATTTGATAAGTAGAAAAGATTTTGAATTAGGCTTCATTAGCATTTCATAGTATTTAGAGGATATCTAGAATGATGTTTGAGTTTCTAATTAGGATCATCATTGGAAGAAAATTTTATTTATTAAATTAGAGAAAAATAGAGAAAGTTTATTGTTTAAATGAATTCAGAGATTGCTATTAGGCTTTTAAAAACTATAACATCTTGTTCCTGTAGTATTCATTTCATGTCTTTCATTTTTTTACCTTATCACAAAGTTTTTCAAGAAACTACTTGTGTTTCGTATTCTTGAGCTCTTTCATTTTGAGAATGTTGACTTTTTATAATAAAAACAAGTTTTTGGCTGACTCCTAAATGCTTTCCTTTAACAGCTTTTAGACTTGGCATTGTCTTTTAGACATTTACATTTTTCTAATATATCTCTAAATATGCTTAAAGTCTATATGTTCTTCTGTCTGTTGAGTCTATCTTTGTTTATGCCTTTTTTTTTTCCTGCCAGTCCTAGGGCTTGAATTCAGGGCCTAGATGCTTGTTATCCCTGAACATATTTACTCAAAGCTAGAACTCTACCAGTTTGAGTCACGGCTCCACTTCTGGTTTTATGGTAGTTAATGAGATAAAAGGTTCATGGATTTTCCTAGTGGGCTGGCTTTGAACCTTGATCCTCAGATCAGTCCTGAATATCTAGGATTACAGGTGTGAGTCACCAGCACCTGGTTGTGCCCTTATATTTTCTAATGATTATTTTTATTCATATGTACAATTATTTGATTTCAGATTATATATTTCTAGTTTGTTATTATCCAATTTTTAGCTTTAAGTATTTCCTTTATCTCTTTTATGGTTTAATGTCCACTAAACTTTCATAAATTCTTTCAGCTTGCTTTTACACACTTTCAGTGTTTGTTTAATAGTCTTTCTTCTTTGAATTTTCCTGTTTTTGTTTGTTTGTTGGTCACAGGGCTTGAACTGTGGACCTGGGCATTGTCCTGAGCTCTTCAGCTCAAGGTGAGGACTCTACCACTTGAACCACAGTGCCACTTCCGGTTTTCTGGTGGTTACTTGGAGATAAGAGTCTCACAGACTTTCCTGCCCAGGCTGGCTTTACACTGTGATCCTCAGATCTCAGCCTCCTGAGTAGCGAGGATTCCTGGCATGAGCCACTGGCACCAGGACCTTTTCACATGTTTTTGAGAGTATTTTTCCCCAAGCTATTACATATCCAAATGTATGCTCTCTTTTTTAATTTCTCCTTCTATGAGTAAGTGTCTTGATAATTCTTTTAGGATTACAATGCCTTAGTTTTTTTTAGTGGACCAAGCTACTTACCGAAAGACAATGTGAAGATGGAAGCGGAGAGGAAGTGAGAGGAAGTGAGTTGGAGTGAGTGCTGATTTAGGAATGTTATCTGAAGGTGTGTCCCCTGGGTGCATATCCTACTAATGGAATTTCAGGTAGTGCTCTTAGAGACGTGCCACAGGTATAGTACTAACTTCTAGAGCATCTTAATTGAATAAACTTGACAACTGAGATTATCATAGACCAAGTGGATAGATATCTTTTATCTGCTAAGAAATTCAACAGTGAAAGTCCAAAGATGCTTAGGATATGATTTGGGCATAATGTTTGATGTAAGAATATACATATGTATCTATGTATCTCTAGATTATTTATAAATAATACATATAATATATATTACCTAGATTACTCAACAAGCAAATATACCTACAGTAATATGGAAAAAATTACCAAAGAGATGTGAGTCTGTGAGTGTGTGTATGCATGTGTAAAATAATTTGGAAAGCTAGAGCTTAAAAATTATGTAAGTAGTCATCATGTGAAAAATAAGAAGCCTTTAAATGTTTATAATTTGATATTTATTTTATTATGAATCATAGTCAAATCCCCTTTTCAAAGTAATGAAGTAATAAGAACTAAAGGAAGGTATTTATTCCTGGGCTTAGGACTGAGTCTGAATAGGTGAATTGCTATGAAATTTGAATGGTACCAGATAAATCATGGAAAGATGCCGTAATTTAATAACTGCTAAACTGTGATTTCCAATTGTATTTTCCGTAAGGAACAAGAATTTCTATGTATTCTTCTTAAGGTTAACTCTAAGGTTAAATTATGTTTGGTGATTGAAAATTATAATTTTTAGCTAAAAATAAATAATGGTGTAAGAGCCATACAGTTTCACCGTGTGTTCAGCAACATTTTAGTTTTTCATATAAATTGTTGCAAAATAGTATTAGGGATTATTCTAACTAATGGAACTATTTACTGATCTTTGTTACTAATTTCCAGTTGACATTTTTTTTCAAAGCTATAAAAGTAGCCCCAAGAAAGAACTAAGCATTTGGAGAGCCTGATTTATAATTGATGAGGCTGTGGGAGAATAAACATACTTTAAAAATAGAACCAGATGGTACCAAAATTTTTGGTTGCTCTGATGAATTCTGGCCCCCAGGCCCTGTGGTTTTATAAACAAAGCAGGGACCAGGATCCTTAGCTCTATGGAGGTTAGTCAGGAGGCATGGGACTCCTAAGACTTGGGTGAGGTCTTCTTTGACTATGTCAGACATATTCAGGTAACATTCAAGGAGGAGTGGGACTTGGAGTCATCATAAGAAGGTGAAGTAATGCTAAAATCTTGCAGTATATTTATGTATGATTGTGCACAGTGTAATATGTTAGGAAGGAAAAAAATCACATCATGTACAATCAGAAGACACCTGACTGATCTGAATAAAGAAAGTACAATGTAGTGTCTTAACCTGTCAAATGATAAACTGAAATACTCTTAGAATATGAAGTAACAATGTTACATTTATAGAAAGAGGGTTCTTTTGGGGTTTTCTTTTCCTTCCTTCCTTCCTTTCTTTTCTTTCTTTCTTTTCTTTCTCTCTCTCTCTCTCTTTTTGTGTGTGTGTGTGTGTGTGATCATGGAGCTTGAAGTCAGGGCCCGGGCAATGCTGCTCAGATTTCTGGTACAAGGCTAGCACTCTACAACTTTGAGCCACAGTACCATTTCCAGTTTTCAGTGGTTAATTAGAGATAAGGGTCTCATGGACTTTGCTGTCCCTGATGCCTTTGAACTGCGATCCTAAGATCTCAGCCTCCTGAGTAGATAGGATTACAGGCGTGAGGCACTGGCACTTGCTTTTTTCTTTTCTTTTCTTTTTTAAGAATTATTGAAAAGTTATTTTCTCTTTTACTTACTCCAGAATGTTTCTATTTATATAAAAGTAAATTTGCAGATAAAAATCTCTGAATTTGCTTTCAAAGGTTTATACTTTTGAAACAACCTGTTATTAACTCACATTCAGTGTAGACAAATATCCAGACAAGGAATCACATTTCAAGAGGAAAAAAAAAAGCTTTTACAATTATTTGCTTAAAACTTGATTGAAAAATCAACCCCTCTAAAGACTTTATGCTATCTTCTGATTACAGAATAGTTTCTAACTCTTTTATTTGTGAATAAAACTGATCTATGTTTTAAAACCCTTTAAAAAGTGGTAACACCTTAAAACATTGGGCAGAAAGAAATCAACTTTCAATTGTATGCATAGGCAAAATGATTCAGGTTATTTAGGGGAAAAAGAGATCTTGGAAATTCTGGCAGTCTACAATTTGATCAATGCAAAATTTTGTGTTTAGAAATATAACTTTTCTGGATTTCACAAATTATTTTGCTTTTAAAGATAGTTTTTGCATTGTTAAGCTTAGAAATGCCTGCTCCATTGGAATATCTTGTTTTATTATGCCTTCAAGTGGTAGATAAAGCTAAAATAATTTTGGAATACCAACTAAAAGAGAAATTAGAGTTTCTTATACTGTTCTGAAATCTCCCTGTGAACTAACTTGGCCCTGTCTGTTCCTTTTCCTTTTTCTCTTTTCCATTTCACAATAAGTGGTTCCTTGTAAATAAAATTATAATGTTCTTTATACTTGTTGATCTAAAAGTAGCATTGGCAGTGTTATTTGATTCCATCATTTTAACACTAGGCTTTGAGAACTTTATGCAGTAATAAATTGCATTTATTATTTGTATAGCAATCTTAGAAAATACAGAATATTGTTGAGAATGACAAAAAATCTGCAAACAATTACCTATGATATTGTTACACCAAATGACAAACAATGGGAAATTTTGGCATACCTCTGACCACATACATATCCACCAGCTATTTACAGATCTTAAATATAGTGTTTGTTGCTGGTGGAACTGAGGGTTGGCAGTGTCTGGAAATGCAAAAAGAAGCCTTTCTCTGTTGCGAGTGCAGAGCAACTTAGGGAGCAAATATTTGTTTCTGTATGTTGAGCTTCTGTTTACCACTTTTCAAATAAGACATTTTGGCTACCAGATTTGCCATAGAAACTCTTAAGAGCATAAGACTTTGAGAATACTGAGAACCCAATGCTCTCTGTCTCCTGATTCTTTTTCAGGGTATTTGGATCAGTACTTACATATTTACCATTTGCTTTGCTGCCAACGTAGGCCTGCTGTTTGGTGTGGTCAGTACCATCGCTATAGTAATAGGACGTTTCCCAAGGTATGATTTCATTTAAAGACTTGGTTTATCCTTATGCGACAGCCACAGATAGGATATTACCTGTTACTTTCATTTCTCAAAAGTTCTAGAATTTCATGTTTTACTTGCGATCAGTACAATAGAGATAGATGTCTTGTCTAAAGATGACATGTAACAATGTTGGTCTTAATGGAGAGAATTCTCAGCATCATAAAATAAAACTGTAAAATCAGCTTTCCATCACTATGGCAAATACCCAAGATAAAGCAACTTGAGAGAAAGAAGTTTATTTTGTCTTAAAAGGTTTTGATGCAATGGCTACTTAGCCTGGTTGCCTGGGCTTGTGGCAGCCCTGTACATTATAGTAGGGGTTCATGGTGGAGGAAATATGCTCACCTGCTCACCTCCTGATGGTTTGGAGAGAGAGAGAGAGAAAAAGAGAGAAAGAGAAAGAGAGAGAGGAAGGCACTAGTCTCCCAATACCCTCTTCATGGGTGTACCAATGATTTAGCTAAATCTACCTACCACTAGGTTGGATCTTAGTTTCCACTCTTTCCATTAGCATCACAGAAAAGCAACAAAGTCCTTAATGAATAGGCTTTGGGAGCCATTTCTAATCTGAGCTATAGCAAATATATAAAATCTATACAAATAGAAAGTGCTCTTAGCCATATACTATCTCATAGATGGTTTTAACAAGTGACGGCATATAGTATCCAATGAGACACAACCATATAGCAACACTAATCATTTGCAAAATTTAACTTCAGAAAACCATACTTTCCAGAAGCCCATGTATATGTACTCAGGAACACACTATTTCTGTCTTTGTGCTGAAAGTCTATAACTCGTTTACCAATTCCTGTTTTACTTTCTGAGTATATATCTGGACTAGTTCTCATAGTCATCTCTTAACATTTTCTTAAAATTGTTTATGAAAGAATTTGTTCTTTAAAATCTAAACTTATCTCCATTGATTCTCTTTTATACAACCTGTAGATACAGATGCATTATTATCTTATTCTTTCTTGTCACTGATTCCTTTTACTCCACTAAAACAAGCTGTGCTCGAATGCTATATATTCTGTAGTGTTTTCTCTTTCATGATTCTTTATCAGTTCAGCCCTTACACCTTGATGATATGGGCCTCTGGTAATCCAAACAAGGTAAACTGTTTTATTGATTTTTGATGAGGAATCTGTTTTATTTCTGAGATTCCAGGAATATATGTAATATATAAAAATATATTACATACATTACATACATAACATATATACATATATGTATATAGATATATATTTATATACATATATCGATATATTTACTAATATTTTATGAACAAGTAAGTTATAGAACTGAAACCATTTCAGACATTCTAATTGTTAAGATAAAACTAGTTATCTCTTATTTCTCAATTGTTAATATAGTAATCAGGAAATGATTGTATTTTCTATTTGCCTTAAATTCAGAGAAAAGACTTTAAGCATAATAAATATGAAAGAAATGGAATTTAAAGTGAAGACCGAAACAGATGATGTAAGTTTAGTTTCCTTTTATTCTTTGTAGAGTTATTAAAATGTTGTGAATGAAATAATTTTAAGACATAAAGCAGATAAATTATTTCATTTAATAATGTCATTCCAATTTTAATTAATATGAACTTACACTGCTAAGTATATGAACACCACACCAATAGATACATAACAAATAACTTAGCATTCAAATAAAAATCCTTAGCATTCAAATAAAAATCCTATCAGTAGTCCAAGAACTAGAGCTTACAGTGAACTCATGGTTAAGGTCAGTTTAAGCATTTGAAATCCCTTTTAATTGCTAAGTTACATAATTAAGGAAAAGAATAAAAATAGGAGCCAAGTTCAAGTGGCTCACACCTGTAATCCTAGCTACTCAGTAGACAGAGATCTAAGGATTGAGGGTCAAAGCAGATAAACCTGAGAAATTCTTATCTTCAATTACCTAGCTGGAAATGGAAGTATGGTTCAAGTGTTAGAATGATAGAATGCCAGCCTTGAGCAAAAAAAAAAAATCTACGCAAGGGTGGGAGTCACTGAGTTCAAGTCCTATGACTAAAACCTGACCAACCTGGACTGTGAGCCTCCGTGCTTCTGTTTGTCACTGGGATGAGAGGGTATGCCACTGTGTCTGGCTATTGTGTTTCCCCCAAAGCCTTGGAAGACACCATACCCATCCATTGTGAATTTTTTGCCCTGGCCGGTCTTGAACTGCAATCCTCTAATAGTTGTCTCTCAATTAGTTTTGAGACACCCCACTGGTTTTTGTTGTTGTTGTTGTTAAGAAAAACCAAGACTGCATAGTTAATAGATGACACTTAAGCAGTTCTAGAAAGCTGATCAGCTTGGAACTTTTAAAGGGAAAAACTTACGTAAATTGCCCTCCTGTGTTGAGAGTGCCAACTGATATCACTTGAGTGTTACTTTCTTGCTTTAAGGGGTAACCAAAACAATGTAAAGCATGAGGGAAAATGTTGGTTTGAATTATTTTTGCCAGTTTTTGAAAGTTGCCCTCACTTTGAACCGGCTTGGTAAATGCTTTGCTTTTCACACTTGTTTTAGTAACTCATGATTTCCCTCAGAACAGAGAGAACTGGCTTCCCATCAGAAGGACCAATGTTAGCGTATTTCTAAGTAAACTGGAAGAAAGAAGTAATATGAGGAACCCTTCTGTGACACCCAGGGGGAATAGCTCGCATTTTTAAATAAGCATGGAAAGATTTGCTTCACGGAGAGCTATTTGAGTGCAGTCTTTGATGGTTTTCTAGTGTCAAGTTTTCCACCGCCTCTCTCTTTTCTTACCTTAACAGTTATACAAAATTTGGGGCTGGTGCAAAGTCCCAGCCTGATTAGAACTCTTAAAGTCCTCTTTGGATCCATCCCACATGGCCACTAATACTGGTCTTGACATCCTTAATCTGATAGAGAATTCAGTTTGGATTGATTCTTTTTCAGCTTAAAAAAATCATTAGGTGTCAATGGTCTATGCTTATAATCTTAGCTACTCAGGAGGCTGAGATCTGAAGATTGGCATTCAAAGCCAGCCCAAGTAGGAAAGATAACCACCATAAATCAAAAAGTGGAGTAATAATTCAAGTGGTAGAGATGCTAGCCTGGAGTGAGTGGAGAAAATCTCAGGGACAATCTAAACCCTGAGTTCAAGCTCCAGGACCAGCACACAAACACATACACACATATGTGCACACATACACACACACAAAAAAAAAAATCAATAGACTCTGTTTAGTTCATACCTTCTTCTTGGACTAAACATATGGTAAAGTGAATGAAATAACTGTAGGAAAGATGAAATGCTGGAAAAATGTCCATACTCTTAAACCTTATTATTTCGTTCCAGTCTTAATATTCTACTGAATGAGAACTGTATGACATGGGAAACTTAAAACATTGTTAAAACACTATATCTCACTACTTTTTTGTGACAAAATTAAGAGGTGAAAAAAACAACAATATTTATATATAATTTTTGGGTGGATTTTCAAATTTTTAAACAAAATGTATTCCCTTCTTTCATTCATATACACGTTTTTCCACCCCTTCTTCTTACAAGAGACCCATTCTAGATTTGAGAGACCTCCTTTCTACTCCATTAGGATTTTTTTCTGAAACAATGGTGACATTTTTTTCATGTTATTGTAACTGAAGATAATGCTGGTACAATCACATAAATTTTGCAATGATTAAATATGATAAATCTAAGAACTAATGCTTTATTTTTGGTTTCTGAAAGGTTTACTCTTGCTTAAAAATTAGTTTGACAACTTAAGGTTACTTTTTCTTGAATTGTTTCTGCCAACTCTTTTAATAGCTGAATCAGTTTCATAGCTTTAGAAACATTTTGGGGTTATCTCGTTTAAGAAACAAAACAAGTAAACTGAGAGACTAATGAATTGTCCAGATTAATGTATCTAATATTTTCTCCTTTCTTTCCTCTGCCTGCATGCATGACTATTCTCTGCATATCCTCTTCTATGCAAGTACTAAAGCCTGAAGGAGTATTGCTTTGCTTAGTTGGTAAGGAGTTACCATTTCATACCATTGACCACCCTCTCCATCAGACACATGTCCCAAAAGCTGATAGAAGACACTTTGATTACATGGCACTAAATACTGTCAGCAATATCTGTTCAAGTTGCCAAAGTAGATACCATTTGTGCTCATTTTTTTCTGCTCTTTTTCTACATGTTTCACCTACATCCTGGCAATGCAGTGCTACCTATGCCTGTATAATGTGAAATCATTGCCCTGACCCTGACTTTTCTTTGTATCTTTCTTCCAATTAGAACTGTTAGTCACTTGTAAGATATCAGCTGAATAAAATTAAGAGATGACACAGATCTTTACAGCTTTATATTTTCATTTAAAAAATACTGATTTGAGGGCTAGGGCTGTAGCACCATGGGAGATCATTTGCTTGGTTTGTGAGAGGTTCTAGGTTTAATCCCCAGAACTGCAAATAAAAGAACTGATGGTTTGGTAAACTAATTGCTAACGTATAGATTGATTGGAAAGCCAATCTTGGAAGGAGTATTCTTCCTGGTACTATTTAGATATGGTAGGCAAGGGCCTCTTAAACCAGTCAGCAGGAGTCAAGGTCATGGTTATTAATGTTTCTTAGTGGAGAGGATTGTGTTAGTATTTTAAGCCAACTAAATACATTTCACTAATTAAAATGTTTGTTTAGAGGTTGGTATTTGAAATGATAAGATTTTGACTCATTAGCTATGGTCATTATTTCTCTTTCATTCGGAATTGTGAATCTCTTCTTTGTTCTCCTGTAAAAGGAAACCCTACAACAGGTAAAAATCATCTCAATAAACAATCCACTTGTTTTCTTGAATGCAAAGAAATTTGGTGCTGATGTAATGAACTTAGTCCAAAAGGAAAACCAGCTACTGGATGATATAAGCAAGGTAAGACCACTGGTTTTATGATTAGAATGTCATATGACAGGAAACTGTACATCATGACCCTGGACATGGTGTTCTGTGAAAACTATACTATAAAAATATGACAAGTCATTTATTTATAGAACTTCTTTATCAAAGCCATAACAAATGTGTATTAGACCTTAAGCTTACAGATATAGAATATAACAAATGACTTCAAAGAAGCATAAGTAGTATCAACTATGATTTCACATGTGCTTTGTTTTGATTTAATGTAAATTAGCTATCTATCATCATTCAACTTCTAAAGCCCTTTCTAGTGTTCCAAGCCTAGATTTGGGAGCCAAATTGCCTGGGTTTGCCAACTGTGAATAAAGCCGTTCATATCAAAGTGGATTGCTTAAAAGTTCCTGCTTATTTAAAGTCATTTAATGGTGATCTTGTAATGCATCTTACCCTCTTCTAACTAGCTAATTTTGAGCAGATTTTGAACTTAAACTCAACCAATCTGAACAGCAGGTCAAAGCCTGCCGTGCTAGGGATAAATAGGGCAGCAGTGTCTGCTCCCTGGGCTTTTGTGCAGGATTCTTGGCTGATAATGCACCCTTCTGCACAAAAGTAAATTTTGCCTTGCTGGAACAATTCTTTATTTTCATGTCTATCATTGGGATTCACTCTGGGATGATTCTTGGAGAATATATTTAAAACAGACACCATTCTTGTGCTGTGGGTTTTTTTATTTTTATTTTTTGGTCATGGGGCTTGAACTCTGGGCTGGGGTGCTGTCCCTTAGCTCTTCAACTCAAGGCTAGCGCTCTACCACTTGAGTCACAGCACCACTTCAAGTTTTCTGGTGGTTGATTGGAGGTAAGAGTCTCACTGACTTTCCTGCCAGGGCTGGCTTTGAACTATGTTACTTAGATCTCAGCCTCCTGAGTAGGTAGGATTACAGGTGGCACACTGTGGGGTTTTAACTTGCTGAATCTTTAGCCTTATGTTTCTCATCTGTAATCAAGATGGTTAAGTGTGTTGTTGAATGAAATGCACTTAGAATAGAGTATGGCATACTCAGTACTGCACTTTCAACAGTGTTCTGCCTATTAATGCTACACAAACTTAGCAAGCATTAGTTTGATTGCCTTCCCTTTTCATAAGGTTTTCCTCAACTACTTTGGATCATAACATCTCTTTTTTCTTTTACATCCTTGTCTGTCCCATCCAAATCTTAACCAGGCCTGGTCCCATTTAGCTTCTAAAAGTAGGTAAGATTCAGTACATTCAGGGTGGTATGGCTGTAAAATACATTCTTGTCTCTCAGTCACTCATATATGTGGGAAATTTTGGAACAACCATTTCTAGTGTTCTAAGAGCTGTCCTGAAGGATATTTCTCCCATTTACAACCTCATGCTTCTACCAGATGGTCTCACTGTGACCCATACCAGAAAGGCCCAGTATATAGAATCAGATATATGATTTGCAGAGGCAAGTTTCTTTATTTACCAAATAATAAAAAATTCAACATAGTGATAGTAGAGCGTAAGCTAAGTTAGAAAGCCTTCTAATTGTGGGGGCCTTTTGGATCTGCAGATTGTAAATTCATGCCAATTTTGCCTGCATCACTGCAACTCTTAGTCTCTCACTGTGTTCTTAGGATTTTACCTCTGAAGGAATATTGGGAATCATTACTAGTGATTTTTGTTCTCTTTAAAAAGGAGAAGATGTAGTCATAATTGGTCAAGTGTGAACTAGTTTTATTTTTAATCACAAAACCTTATTACGTTATGTAGCAGGACGCAGTTGTATTTTGAGTAGTATAGAGCTTTTTCTTTTTTTTTGAATCAATGTAAGTTCACACCATTATATGAATGTTTGATCATTTTTTGATCCAAAATCAAAACAGAGACTTGCAGAAAAAGTTTGAAGGAAGATATTCTAAGTAGATAATATAACTTATCTTCTGATCTAAAGTGTACTTAGCAGAGGCCTTTCATTGAGATTCTTCTTTTCTTTTCTTTTTTTCTTTTTTTGATCCAGTCGTGGGGCCTGAACTCTGGGTCTGGGCACTGTCCCTCAGCTCTTCAGCTCAAGGCTAGTGCTCTACCACTCAAGCCACAGCACCACTTCCAGCTTTTTTCCTTTTTGCTTATGTGGTGCTGAGGAATCAAACCCAGGGCCTCATGAGCCACCTTCCCAGCGGGAGATTCTTCTTTTCTAAATAAAATTCCTCACACTCAAAAAATAAGTACTTAGAACTCATCGTCATTTTATTATTTCTATGTTCCTTGCATACAGTATTCTGAAAACAAGGCTTGTGAAGAATGTTTTCTGGAGATTAGTTTTGGTTAGTTCTATGGAGAAAGGAATGTGATGCTTGTAAGGACCAGAAATAAATCTATGTAACTTGTCTCTTCTTTATATATGTTTTTATTTCAGTGTGAACAAAACACATTGCTGAATTCGCTGTCAAATGGCAACTGCAATGGTAAGTTGTCCTTATGGAAGAAAATGAGTATTCTGACTTGAATTTAGATTAGAGATGAAATCTCCTTTCCCATTGGTTCCCCACTGACTTCTTCCCTTTCTCCACCTCTCTCCTCTACTTTTCTTCTCCCACTTCCTTTGTTGTGCTCTCCTTACCCTTATTGTCTCCTTTTTCTTCTACTCTCACTTCCTTTGTCCTACTTCCTTTCCTTTTTTCTCCTCTCTTTGTTCCTCCTCTTAGTCAGCTTTTCTTCCTTTTGTCTTTTTCTTCCTCTTTACTTTCTCTTATTGTTTCTTTTACGTCATTCTCCTTCTCTACCCCCTCTTTTCTTTGACTTCTCCCTCTTCTACTTTTTATTCCTCCTTTCTTCTTTAGTGTTCCTTTTCTCTTCTTTTTTGTTTATTTCAAAGAAAAAGTAAATAAAAGTAATGAGTAACAGTAAATAAAATAAATGTTTTAAACACAGACTGATATTCATACTGTAGTTTTAATGTGAATCAGCATTTTCTTTCAAATATTATCTCCAAATGTTTTTCATTTTCACCCAAAACAAAAACAGCAATTTTAAACAACTACAGGTTCATACTTACTTGGGAGAAAAAAACCCTCAAGAAATGGCAAGAAATGTTTTCATCATTGGTGCCTGTTAAGTTAACCTGGTTGATATTTATTGATAACAATATCTTCTTGCTAAATGGAAAGTGGTTTTATTGGAAATATTTTGAAAGTATATATTTTATTATCTACTTTGAATTTTAGTTAAAAATTCCATGATTCCATCATTACAATAAACCTATAATTCAATATATAGATAATATATAGATTATCTATAAATATATCTATATCTATAAGCATATAGATAGATATATCTATAAATCTATCTATATATAAATACAGATATCTATCTAAAAGCTGAATAGATGATATGATTTATTAGTGAATGAAATAGTACCACATATGTTTCTCTTATTAGAAACAAATTGATGATAAGTCAATTTTAAAATTAAACATTACAAACTGCATAACATTTATTCCCCTCTTAAATGTTATTTTTATAAAAAATAGTTATTAATGTTCCTATTTTTAAGTGGCTTGGTTGTTCCTTCATTCCTCAATGTAACCTTGCATTGTTCTATAGACTATATTTTATTTACTATCATTTTCAAAGCAATTTGAGTTTTGTTTCTATATAGTCTTTTCAAGTTTCTGAGCATTTCAAATAATGGAAATAATATATTTAGACATATCAGCCAATAATTTTAAATTGTAAATCTTTAATAGAAGGACAATACATAGAAATAAGATCATTCCATGCCTTCGACTATTTGAAAATTAGTAAATACTCTTTGAAATTATGTATCACACAAAAAAGAAATTATAGTGAAAGTAATGATTAAAATTTATTTTACTAAATGAACTATGCAGAAAGTTTTAGGGAACACATAAAGCAGTACTGAAGGAAACAAAAACTAGAAGTCTACAAATAGAAAAATAGAAATCAAAATTAGGAATAAATACAAAATTAAGAGGACTGACATAACCAGTTTGGGTCTTTCAAAAGCAAAATAAAATGATCAAGTATCAAATAAACCTAAGGAATAATGGTAAATCATAGGTAAAGAATAGTAGTAACATAAAAGGTAATATATCATCAGATTCTAGGCATATGTAAGACATGAGAAAATAGTAGACATTTTGATACCAAAAGAAAATTGAGATGACATGGACAAATTCCTAGTAAGATATAATTTTCTAAAATTGATCTAAAACATAAAAGGAAAACATCCCCCAAAGTTTCTACAACTGGTAAAGAAATTAAATTATTAATGCAAAATCTTTCCATAGACAAGAAAATTTTCATACCTTAGTGTGTTCATCAGTAATTTTGACCAAAGTGGATAGATAGTAAAAGATTCTTCATGGTAGCATTGTTTATAATACCTCCCAAATGAACACAATATGAGGGATAAATGATATGTAGAAGGTTTATGTAATTTGATTATAAGCATATTAAAGTATCTAATGTACTACAGTGCATAACATATTTCCAGTCAATACATAACAGAATAGAATAGAAGTATATGAATCAGCTTAGTGTGTTATCTCAAGCTTGTAATCCTAGCTACTTGGGATGTCTGAACAAGTTGGCACATCCTGATTATCCCAGCTTCAGAAGCATAATGGCTAGGGACATGGCCCACACCTGTCTCATAGGGACATGAGGAAGCACAAATAGGAAGATCACAATCCAGGTCAGGATGGGCATTACGTTGAAAATAAACAACACACAAAAAAGATGACTGGAGTTATGGCTCAAATGGTAGAGTGTCCAGCAAGAACAAAGCCTTGAATTCTGTCTTTGGTGACATTCTCCTGTCTTTCCGTAACATTTTATTCATATATTTTCCAGGCCTCATAAAGCTCAAATGATTTGTTTATATGTTTGATAGTGAGTCTACTGAAGAGATAGACCTTCATCTCTCTTGTTCAGTCACTATTGACTTACATTTCCCAGGAGAGTTTTTAGAATAATCATTCAGTGCATCTGTGTTAACTGACTGCTGGGATAAGTGAATGAATGAATGAGGGAAATGTTCAGTAATATGTTCATGTTTTCTTTCTTGTCCTGAATGTTTCTTATCTCCTTATTTCTTGAGAAATTAGAGTTTTAAGATTGCTTCTCAAAAGTTAATTGATGCCAACAGGAAAAACACTTAATTTAAAAGAAAGTATGAGTGACTCAGATTGTCAAGAATCTTTTGAAGTATATAAAAAGGACTCCTAAATTATACGACTATGAATACTTTTTAATTAAAGGAGTTAATGAATATTCCACAGGAAAGATCTGGTTTCTACAGTCTGGAGTTAATTGCCCACCCACACCTGATGGTTAATTTCTTTCTGAAATGTTGTTTTTTGTAGATAAAGCCCATCATTTACCACATCCCACATGGATATAGATTAGTTGTTTCCTTTGCACATGCTCCAAGCTTACTTTGTTTTGCTTAAGGCAGGATATTAGCTGTGCATTCCCTTTACTCTTTTCTGGTATGATGTGATTTTTATTGCAGTAGTTGATTTACTTAGAAGCTTAGAACACAAGGTTATATCCATAAAACCAGTAACAATGGCAGAAATGGCAGAAATGAAAGGATACTATGTAAAAGGAACTTCATTTTTTGGAATGTTTTTGAAATGTACATTGAATATAAATTTTCATTTGAGTGAATTGTTAATTTCTTTTTTTACTTTAAAAGAGGAATCATGCATTGCTTCTTATAAAGTAGCTTGTTCAAAGAAATGATCACAACTATATGGTGTGAGGTTTTTTTTTGCTTAATATGGTTTTATTAAGGATATTCTGGGAATAAATATATATTTTAATTAAAAGAATAGTACACTGTGCATTAGTGGCTCATGCCTGTAATCATAGCTACTCTGGAGGTTGAATGAGATCTGAGCATTATGATTCAAAGCTAGCCCAGGCAGGAAAGCCCATGAAACTCAGACCTAAAAAAAGCCAAAAGTGGAGCTATGTCTAAAATGGTAGAGTGCTAGTTGAACAAAAAAAGCTCAGGGACAGCATCCATGCCCAAATTTCAAACCCCAGGACTGGCACATACACACACACACACACACACACACACACAGAATAGCACTTAGAAAACTAAAATATAAAATAAAAGACAAAGCACATCAATAGCATATATTGTGAGAAAAATGGAAGTAAAATTTGTGAATTGCTATTAATAAAGGCTAAACACTTACATTTACATGGTTATTAAACTATTGTGACAAATTATAAAATTATTACAAGTGACAAGAATTGTCAATACAGTTTAGCAATGAAGACTATATGGTAGATGAGAAAAGAAAGAAAAGAGTTTCTGAAAAATTCTAATACCTTATGTATTGACATTTTACTAGTAATTTAGACAGTTAACATCAATCTCCCTGGTTAATCTAAATACAAATTATTTTTTGTTTTTAGTTTTAGCAGTGATATAGTAGTCAGGGCCTTGCATTTGCTGGACTTGTTGGGTTTGCTGATGTGCTACTACTTAATTAAGCCACACTTGCAGCCCAACACTTTGAAGTTTGAGGTTCTGGTGTAGCATGTGAGGCCAATGGATGCACAGTCCTAATCCATACCAACTACTTTGCTCTTTCTTACAGCAGAAACATGCATAAGGGAAACTCCAATATAGTGCCTGGCATACACTTGACCTTCAGCTCTTACTGGTTGAATGTTAGCCAGGGAGGTCTGAGAATTTAAGCTGTCGTTAGTGTTTAATTAAAGCTGCCCCTTTGGTTGGGTGGCTGGTGTTTTTTGTTTTTGCTTTTTCTTTTCTTTTTTTTTTCCATAAAGCATTACTTTGTTAAACCAATGAGATATCTACTTTTCATAAATTTCCATTATTTTTCAACTACTCATTTTTAATCAAATATCATTTAATGTCCCAATTCTATCCTTGGTTTTCAGAGTATTATAATCTTGAAGACAAGAGTAAAACTATGTTGTTCATCTGTTAGTACCCACTGCATTTTTAACAACTTCTTGTATGTAGTACCTATTCTGTAGCTATTATTCAATTGATAGATATGAATCTAGATTTAAATTCAAATACATGCATTAGAAATTACTTTGTAACGTTTTTCCGTTTCCTAACAGTTAATGCCATATAAAAATTTCAATGCCATCCAGACATGGTGGCTCATACCTTTAATCTTAGCATTTTTGAGGATTTTGAGTTCAACACTAAGGTGAGCTATATCATGATTCCTTGACCAGCCTGGGATTTGGTATGGGATCTGTCTCAAGAACAAACCTAAACAAAATACCTAAAAACCAAAATAATATGTTTTATTTCTGTGTCTATTTTATATTCCTGCTCATTTGCTTTTATCTCTTAATTGCAGTTTTTTGTTAAATGCACTCTTTCTTTCATATTTTCCTTCATGTTTAGAAACATCCACTTGATCGTTAGTGGGACAATTACAGTGAAAAACCTTGGGCATTTTCAATGGCAAAACTAATCCAATTAAGCATGTGTGTGTGTGTGTGTGTGTGTGTGTGTGTGTATTTTTTACCTCAGAGAATTTCTTGATAACCAATGAACTGGAGCTTATTTAATAGACTTTGACTAGAAATAGTGCATGACCGACACATTTTGGAAGGCCTAACTGGGTCCTATCACTTTTAGAAATGTCACATGAAGAAACGGTGGCCCTGAGATTGTCGTTCAAAAAGAAGTCAAGAATTCCTCAGTAAAAGCATTTTCTTGTCATATATGCTTAGAGGCAGATTTAGGCAGATTTCCTGGGATACCAAATGAAACTCAATTTTCAGGGTTCCTTACACATTTCCCTAGTTATTGTCAGATAAGCCCTACCAGTGGATTTGCTTTAAAGAGTGAATCCAAAAGTGCATAAGCCTCATGCATCACAAAAGCAGACTCTACCTCTATGCCTATTCATGTGGTGAAGAGTGTGTGGGATTGTGTAAAACATGTTATTTACCATGTGAGAGAATTCTGTCCCAACCCCCAATTTAGTAAGATAATCCTTTCAAATTCATTTTAACCTGCTGAGCCTTAGTTTCTCTATTTGAGAAATAATCCTGATCAGATCATTAAACTATCTTATCCAATTCTCTCTGATTTATATGGTTGATACCTGAGATAACATTCTCATCATCAAAAATCCAGATTCAGAAGTAATAATTGACAAAATTAGATGTCAATAAATGTTGAGAATTCATGTTGTTAAACATGTCATTTTCCTACCATTCAAGGTAACAAGAGAAATCCCTAGGAACCCTCCCTAACTTAAGTCTCTGTTCTTCCTACAGATGAATTGGCACAGCCCTGCTCTAGTGAGAAGTGTTCTTTAGTCTTGGATTGCACTGGCTTGACCTTTTTTGACTATTCTGGAGTATCTATGCTTGTCGAGGTATGTATACAGACTGTGTTTAGAGTGAATCACCCCTTCTCTTTAGTAGTAGAAGTTTCCATCAGCCATTCTCTCCATTCCAGAGTTTAAGCTTGCCTCCTTTCCCATAGGGATGTAGGACTTGGGGCCTCAGACTACTATAGGTTTATTTACAGCAAATCTCATCTACGTAGTGCTTCCTTGTCTACTTCTGTCTGTTCGGTCTAATGAAGTTGCTACAGCTACTTTTTTCTTGGGTTCCCTCCTTCTCATTGTGGCCTGCAAGCCTGCTTGTGGCAGAAAGCTGAGCTTCTGGTAGGGATCCACTTGTTTGTCTTTCTATCAGTGCTGTGCTGCCTGAGACCTAGTAGATACTACATTTTTTTTATTTCTGATGGATAGGACAGTATTGGATTACATATTTCCAAGGTCAGAAGTAGAAACTGAACATTGATTTTTAAAGAGTTCTGATTAGCAACGTTGATCTTGTATCACTTTGTTGACTTTCTTCTCTTTTTTTCTCTTTCTTTCTCTTCTCTCTCTCTTTCTTTCTTTCTCTCTCCTTCCTTCCCCCCTCTCTCTTTCTCTTTCTTTCTTTCTTTCCCTTTCTTTCTCTTTCTCTCTCACTTTTTTGTTTTCTTTTTGGTGCATACTCTACTTCCTTTGTGGTTACCATCAGAGTTTCAGCTTGCTTCTTAGAACTCTAGCACTAATTTTTACCAGCTTAATTTCAGCTACAAACAAAAATTGTTACTCTTAATCACCTTTACCCAGATACTCCTTCAGTTGTTGATGTCACAAAATCCATCTTTATGTATTATATGTCCAAAAACCAGACAATCACTTTTGTACATTAGTCTCATAACAATAGAAATTAAGTTATAAGCCAGTTATAATAAGTTATCCAAATATTACCCTTACCAGATATGTTTATTTCTGCAGATGCCTTTCATTACTAGCTAGTATACTTTCTAAAAGATTTTTATTTGCATATATTAATTGTACACAGAGAATTTTTGTGCTGTTTTCATACACGCATTCAGTGTACTCCAATCAAAACTACAAGAGGAGTTTTTGTTTTAGCAATAGCAGATACCTAGAAAACAAAATAATATACAAATAAAAGCTTAAATACTTCAGATCTTGAATCTAGTGGCCATTTTTGGAAAGTTACACCTTTTTATTTTGTTGTTGTTTACTATAAAACTTTTGCACAATTGAGTAGATGCATGATTCAGTATGAATATTTAATTTTTTTGCAACTAAACCTGGATTGTAAGTATAGTATCTCTTCATTTTTTTGTGCTTTGTGTTGCCAAGGTCTTGAAGAGTACTCTAATTTATCTGGGTACTCATCTAAAATGCACTCTTCTGAGACTTGGTTCTGGCCTAGCATTTTCAATTTAAACATTCGTAGGTGTTTCTAAGCCAGGTGGATTAAGGATCATTTTTGGAGACAGTGCACTAGGATTGCACTTTTACAGAGAAAGGTTAGTAGGTTTATTTTGGCTCAATTGTATTTTAAATTTGTTGTTGAAATTGTTAGCTACTTTAGAATTTTTTTTCAAAACATGACATAGGGTAAAAATGAGGAAATGGCTACTCTCTCTTCTTGAGCTGGGGTCTAAAGTTGATGGTGCAGAGAAATCCCAGCAATATAGGCACTGGGTCTGAGGAGAAAGGGCTTCCCTTTTCCTCCCACATAGTAGTGGTTTTAAAACTCCCTACAGTGAAATGAGGGAATGAGGCAACTGATAAGCTTAAAAAAAACATTGTAGAAAAATGACATCTGCCCCTAGTTAGGAGTTTGTTTTTTAAACAGGTATACAAAACTAGCAGCAGTTTACCTCAGTCTTTTTTCCCTTTTTCCTTTTTAATTTCTCACTGCTGTTTGATTTATTTCATCCTGGTTTAGTACTATTTTGATATATGCTAAGAACATAGGCTTTGAAGATAGATGAGTCTTTTAATAATTGCCTATTTGTGAGATCTAAGCTCAAGTATTGGTTTGCTTTTCAATGAACTAGAAGTGGAAATACTGAATCTGTCATGTTATTGTGAGGCTTAGAGATAATATACTATTCATAAAGTACCTACAAATCTATCTGACAGTTAGTCAGTACTCAGTAAGTATTCTATTACTGTTTGCCTCAATTTTAAAAAGCCATGTTTCTAAAAGTAAAGTAATTGTAACTAATATTGGTTCTTAGTCCAGCCATCTTGAAAGTACAGGGCAAAAAGCCACAGGGACTTTTCAGCCATCCATACCTTCCTGTTTTCTACCAACACTCCCTGGGTTGTGTGTTCAGTCTCTTTATAGAGAATATTCTTCCCAGAGTTGCAGTAGGGTGAAGTGACTGCTATTTATTATTTCACTTGGGAAACTGGAGAAGCCGATGAACTAGAGAGGTCAATGAACTGGAGATTATGTTTATCCACATCAACAAGCCACCCAGAGCAATATGTTTGTGCTTCATTGAGCTTAAAGAAAAGTCCAACACTGGGAGGTCACCTTGAGTTAATCACTGTTACTTATAAAAAACAGGAGCCACTTATGCAATGTCAAAGTCTGAGTTTATATATATTTCATATTTTGTTTGTTCATTTATGTTCACAGTGATGTAACTATCTTCTACAATTCTCACAGAGATGAAACTGTTTACCTTTAGAATAGAAATAAGAGAAATTGGATGGATCAATTATATGGTTAGAATTATTACAGATGTAACTCCTATATTTCATCTGCACAACACTTTGTTATTATACAAAATTCATCCATCCTATTGTAACTATAACTCTTAGATTTACTTTCAGTGAATACCACAGGCTGACATTGGTCTGGGTGAATTGAGATCGAGGCCTTCCTTAAGTTTCTTCTCCTTATATTTTCTAGAACTTAAAGAGGCAAAAAAGTGAGTTCTTATCTCTCATTTTGATAGATTAGACTTGATAGACTCTAAAAGTGGAAATTGGGTGGTGAAAATTGGCTCGCATCATTTCGGATGCGATGCCTGGGATCAAGAGACTGAATAGTCTCAAATTCTTATTATAAAACATTAAAGTCAGCAGTAGGTCAACAGACACCAACACCTTCCTAAGTGGGTTGTTCATTGACTTCTAATGAAAACTTGACCTCTGTTTTAGCTAATGTCTATGGGGAAAGGAAGGTGATGTTTTGAGTTTTCCTGCATGAATTAGAAAACGTAAGTAGCCAAACTCAGTCTCAGCATAGGTGGATGCCTCATTGCATCCACCTTAATCAGTTAGATTATGACCAACTGTGTAACAATACCTCCCTCTGGTGGTTTGAATTCAAAGCACGGAATTTCTTTCTGAAGACTTGTTCCTTTGTCAGCTGGTCTGAATTAATCATGGGTATATTATTTTAATTCTTCCAGGTTTACATGAATTGCAAGGGCAGGAATGTGGATGTATCACTAGCCAGTTGCACAGGTAAGAGAGTCTCCTTCCCTAACAGCCAATGTGATCCTCTGCTACTCCTCATCTTTGTGTTACTTGAACTCTCTTATAGCCTCCTTGATAAAAGCAATGACGTACTGTGGAAACCTGGATTCCGAGAAACCAATTTTTTTTGACTCAGTATCTGCAGCCATCAGTAACATCTACTCAAATAAGGTGGGTTGATCAAGGTAGCTTGTAAGAGTTGAATGGAAAATAAGAATATAAAATCAAGGGATTTGGATCTTTAATTATTCTATTTCTACCTCTCTGGCATTTAAAAACTCCAAATCTCCTCTTTTTCTCCACTTCAGTTCTTTACTATGAATAAAGAAACTTTCTTCCATTAGGCCAGTTATGAGTAAGTACTTAATACATTTGGCTGTTCTCACAAGGTCACTGCTGAGAGATTCAACAATCACCTATCAAGAGCTGTACTTTGCTGCTGCTCCCAGGATACAACTCACCGCTCTCAAATGTAAAGGGGGGGAGGAAACCCCTATAAATGTGGAATTTTATGCTTTTATCTCAGCTCAGATATCCTTTCCTCTAGATTTACTTGTTTATTTATTACTAAGTTTTTTTTATTGTGAAAATACCCTACAGAGGGGTTACAATTACATGAGCAGGGTAATGAGTACATTTCTTATCAAGCATTGTTGCCTCCTTCTTTGTTTCCCCTTCCCATCCCTGCCCTCCCATCTCTCCCCCGGCCGGCCCCATTTACCTTGATTTCCATCTTTGGAAACATTATTTGCAGAATAGAGCTCACCTGGCGGGAAGTGTGGAGTGCACACCTTCCAAATGCTCCCAGGGCTGTAAGTTCCAGAACATTTTCTTTGACTTGAATCATTTAGCATTTCCCCATCCCTAGAACAATATTTGATGCCTTCCAGGATCACCCCTATTCTATTCAGTGAGAATAGGATGTATTTACCAAGCAATAATAATAATAATAATAATACCACTATTATTATTGTAATTACTGTTGTTGTTATTATTACATATCTAACACTTATTGAGTGCTCACTGTGTTCTCAGGATATTCTAACAGCATTATTACATTAACTAGCCAAACTTGCCACTGCTTTAAGCAGAAGGCACTATTATTCAGACCATTTTTAGAAATGAGTAAACCAAAGCTGAAGGTAGTGTGCCATTTGGGCCAGTTTAAAAATCAGTGATGTGATGCTGGACCTGTAGCTTTAAGTCACTCTATCTGCTCTGATGCTTCATGGATTGTCTTCTTTCTTGCTTGCTTGCTTTTTTGCTTTCCTTCTTTCTTTCTTTCTTGCTTGCTTGCTTTCTCTTTCCCTCTCTCTCTCTTTCTCTCTCTTTCTGCTGTCACTATATCACAGCTCCACTCTTCTGGCTTTTTGGTGGTTTATTGGAGATAAGAATCTAATGGCCTTGCCTGTCCAGGCTGGCTTTGAACTGTTATCCTCAGATCTCAGCGTCCTGTAACCCTAGGTGAGAGCCATCAGTGCCCAGTTGGATCATTCATTTTCCTAGCATGGTGGGACCACATCTGTTGTGTTTATTTCTGCACTGATTTAAGAGTTGAGTAAAAAGCACATGCTTTTTCTTCCTGTCTTCTTTCAGAATTTGAACAAGCTCAGTGACCACAGTGAAGTGTGAGGTCTACCTATTGCTGTCTGGATCTTGCTCTGAGGAAGAAACATATGCTGGCATTTTGCACAATATTTTTTTGTGCAGACCCTGCACATGACCTCTGCTACAATAAGAATGATGTGACTTACTAACTGCATTGCCACTGGTCAAGAATTGTCAACTTTTTTTTCCTAATCCTTTTTAGTAAGCAGATTCATTTTGTTATATAGAAAGAAATGCACATGCATTTAGCTATAGCAAATTGAGAACAGACATGATTTTTTTCTTTATCACAGTATTGTATATTGTTTTATAACTCTTTTGTTGTAAGCTGATTTTTAAAACTGATAAACACCTTTATCATGAGTGATTTGAAATATTTACAAGCCATTTGTCAATACAATGCACATGATCTTCACAGAAATAAAGCACCAGAATAAATGGTAAACTATAATTCATCTATCTTCATATTTTCAACAGATTCACGCTGAAGCACTGAAAAATGTCTTCATATTAGTAAGAAAACAGTAGTAGCTTAATAAAACCAAGATTTTAACGTTGGTCTCCTTTGTTGTAAATATTAGAAAATGCTTAGGCCAGTTTGCTCTAATTTCCACATTCCCCATCTCATAAGAGGCTCCATTTTCTACTTTAATTTTATTGGAGCCAGAAAATATGGAAATTATATACCCTGCAATTTTTTCACAAATATAATTTTTAAATGAGAAAATACCACTAAATCGAGTAGCCTTGTATACTTTTTTACTGTAAGAATTTTGGACTTTATTTCAGAGACAGAATTAACAAGAGAGCTTAGATGTGAATATCAGTAAACTCACCCATCCAACAAGATAAGTAACAAACTCTACTGGCTTCTGTATAAGTTATTGTTTGCATGCTTGGACATGTATTTGCAATTGCACACAAATACACAGACTCATGCTTTTATCTAACAAATTGTTTTACCCAGGAAAGAAAAAATATTTTTATAAATAGACTCATAATTATGCTGTAGCCTTAATAATGTTTTTAACTCCCCTAGAAATTGCCAATATAAGAAATAGTCAGATACTTTAAACTGAGATTGATAAACAAATTGAAAATAACATTAATAGACTGGTCGTTTAATGGCTTTCACAGGCATCTGTTAAGAAGAAATCTCAGGGCTTGTGTGGATGAAAGCAATGCAGAACAAATGTGCAGTAAACATTCACATGGTCCTTAATTTTGACACTAAATCCTTGGTAGGACAATGTTTTGTTTTTTTTCCAGAAATTATCAAATCATTTTAATTATTATTGAAATGAATAGAAAGGATAATATTAGATTCTTCATCACCAATAGAAATTAATATGAGCAAGGGTGGCTCACATTCTCATCAAATACTCTTTCAGGGAAAGTTGGATGTAATATACTCTGCTTCGTCCAATTAAATTATTGCAATGGTGGATGGTAGTAATATTCACCATCCCTAATCCATTGGTCACTGGCAAATAAACATGAGTCAAGGAAAGTCAAGAAAAGAAAATATATTTTGATATGTGTAAATTGATATTCTGCCATGCAATTTTGGCCTATAATTGAATTCATGTGTTGCAGACCATTTTGTAATTTGTTAGAGATTATGGGGCATTCATGCTGTTAAAATCATGGTAGTTAATCAAGGGATAGTTTGTTCTATTTTATTGTTAATGCTGAGAAAATGGTGGCTGAGCAGTTGCATTCAAATGCATTTCAATGCTTAGAGCTCAAGTTTAGTGGGTAACATTTGAAAGTAACCTGGTGTCAGATGTTAACATTGTATTTAAGAGAAGGAAAACCAAAGCATCCAGTATATGAAATCTTGTTTTGGTAGCTTCTCCTTGAAATCAAGGCCGCAATGAATGTTGGCATGAAGAAAGGATCTTTAATTAAGTCCTGAGTCCAAAAATTGAACATAAGATTGAGACTCACAAGATTTTAAAACAATTGTTTATTTTAAAACAAATCAATAACACAGAAATGAAAATATGGATCAATTGTTGGAATGTTTCCACAATCACACTTTTTTTGATAAGAACATTTTGTTTATATCTATATCTATCTATCTACACACACACATACACACACAGACATACACAATAAAATATTTCCATTTTAACAGTTATAATAGAATAAAATTGGAAAAAAAACCTGATTTGAGTGTTAAAGATTCAACAGCATGCTGGATACAAATTAAGCATAAAACATGTAAGCAGGAAAAGACTGTTAACGTCACACTTATGCAAATTAAGTGCTCTTAAATTTTGCCATTTGTCTTTCACTTTAAAGGTTATTTGCCCTCGATTATATAATTTAAGTTTAGCTGAAAATACTTTGCAGTAATTTATTTGACAGATCTCTATAAATGTGGAATGTCAACAGGATAGAGACCTTTCTTTTTTAATGAAAACCTCAATGTGTTAATATCTTGGGTGGATAATGCTCAACATTTAGTGGGTAACAAAATCCATTGGTATGTTATTGGACACATATATGTCTTAGAAATGCACATGCTGTGTTCTGTGGGTGAATGATGTAATTCAAGACATCATATGCTTTTTGGCAGTGAGTTTGATACTAGATTTCAAATAGAGAGTTAAGTGGTGCTTTCACAATCCAAAGATTTGGTTAGCTAAAAATCATGTCATTTAATACTGTGCACTTATTTTTTAAAATATTTTTCAATACATTTGATTACCTTTTTAAAAAAGCCTTTGTACTAACTCAATATGTAACAACCAATTTACATAGAAATAAATTGAAACGTGATAACCATTATACTTAAATAGATTTGTGTTCATGATTTCAGAGTATTTACTTTTCTACAAGGCAAAAAATACGGTTTGCTTTCTTGGACTGGCTGGAGTATTACATGTTGAAAAATGTCTGCAAATATCCGTATTTCTGACAGGTTTTTCCTTACAAAATTTTAACCAAAGCCAGTGAGCTACTGTCCATATGGGTACCTTTTGCTATAAGACATTGTCTAAATAATGTCACATACAAGGTCTCAGTCATTTTTAATTTTAATACAGATTTTTTTTTACTTCTTCATTATATGTTGTTTTATTTTTATCTTGCCTGAAATGCTAGATTGAGTTCAATATTTAAAAGCTAAAGTTCAAAAGGAAATGTAGGAGATGGAACAAAGAATAAAACAGGAAAAAATCCTTGTCTTCATGGAGTTTATATTCTAACCAGAGAAGACAGAAAATTAACAGAATAAATTTAAAACACATTGGTTGTAAGTCAAATGTTAATATATGCCAAGAGGAAGTATAGATTAAGGAAAGATAATTAGAAGTTTGGTGGAGGAGAAGGCTTGCATCCCTAGATCGGCCAGAAGATAGCTAGCGAGGATGTGTGAGCGCTACAATTCCCATGCATTAGTCTGCAGCCCTGGCCTTCAGACAGTGAATTAAACTACATTAATTCCTTTTTGTCCATCTTGGGGAAGTCCAAGATGAAGGATGCCAATAAATGTGGTTTCTGTTATGCATTATCTTCCTGGTTATGTTTTTTGGTTTTTGGTTTTTTGGGGTTGGTTATGGGGCTTGAACTCTGGGCCTGGGCGCTTTCCCTCAGCTCTTCAGCTCAAGGGTAGTATTCTATTACTTGAGCCACACAGCACCACTTCCCATTCTTCCTGGTTTTTCTCAATATGCCTAGTGGAGAGAGAGGACAAAAAGCACTATGCTGTCTTTCCCTCTCGGGACATTAATCTTATGACATCAAAGACTCCCCTTCATGACCTCACTCATCCTCCATTACAACCTTATTAGCCTGATCTCCAAATAGTGACATTGGAGGCTGGAGTTTCAACACATGAATTTTGTTGGGACATAATTTAGTCCACAATGGAAAGGTTTACATTATAATCTTTAGACATTACAATAGTTCCTTTTTAATGTCTTGAACATATAGTCTTAATAAAATTTAATCATATCTATTACATGTCACACATTCGCACGAGAAATAGAATCATTACTGAATGGCTTGGTTAAAACTTTCTGCTACTAGAAACAGTAAATTGGATGAGATTAGGCCGTGAAACTAGGTGAAGTGGACAGGAAGGGGTTTGGAATGTACCAGCGGTTGTGTGAAAGCAAGACCTGTTGTATCCTGTGATGCGTCTTAATGATTAGCCATCTGGTTCAAGGAAATAGAATCCAATAGTAAGTGCTTGCTAGTGCTATCCTATTGGTTCTAATAAAAATAACAACACAGACATGGTTAAATTTCATCAGCTATCATAAAGACAGCTCCAGAGTTGTCTTGCTGCTAAGGTTTTACTTTGGGCTTTGCTTGTTTGTTTGTTTTTTACAGAGAAGAATACTTGGTTACTACAACTTGGTTAAGCCCTCTGAAATAATCTCTTCCAAAGTACTTACTTTGAAAATTCTTATTGTTTAAATTAATTCAGCAACAGGCAGTTTATTTTGGTCAGACTTCTTCACTTTCTGTCATAAATTATAATAATAAAATTTCTCTGCAATAAATGTAGGAAGCTTTTCAGTGCACACATGTAGACACACACACATGTATACACACATATTTGCTTCCTATCATTTTTCCACATTTAGAAATTGGATAATAAATGCATACTTGACAACAAGAGTTGTTACATTAAAAAAATGATTCAGCCGGATGCCGGTGGCACATGCCTGTAATCCTAGCTATTCAGAGGCTGAAACTTGAGGATTGCCATTCAAAGCCAGCCCAGGCAGGCAAGTCCATGAGACTCTTATTTCCAATTAAACACCAGAAAACTGGAAGTGGAGCTGTGGCTCAAAGAGGTAGAGTACTAGCCCTGAGCTGAAGAGCTGAGGGACAGTGCCCATATTCTGAGTTCAAGCCCCAGGTTCCACACACACACACACACACACACACACACAGACATACAAACACGATTCAATAATAAAGTCAGGCTAAGGTGGCTCTGTCCTGTAATTCTAGCAGGAGGAGGACTGAGGATTCTGGCTCCTGGAGGAAAGGCCATAAAACTCTTAGCTTCAATTAACAAGTAAAAAGAAAAGCTGGAGATAGAGCTATGGCTCCAGTGGTATAACACTAGCCTTGAGTAAAAAAACAAACAAACAAACAATAGCTAGGCTTAGAGTTTAAGACCCAGTACTGGCACATGCACACACATTACAAAAAAAGAAAAAGAAAGAAAAGACTCTAATGAAATGGATGAAAATAAAACTAGAATTTCACCTTTAGTTCTATTGCTTCTAGAGCTGCTCTTTAAAAATTTCTTAGCTGTCAAGCAAGTTCTGTTCTGGAGTTATGAATTAACAAAGAGAGGGAAGACAGAAGCGCTTTTTCATTGACATCTGTTGTCTAAATTCAATTTCTGTATTTCATACCCTATTTATATCTTTCCTTACACATTAATTTATGTTCCCACAGGCTCTGTATTTTAGAATTTGTAGACGAAGCCTATTGTGTATCTAAGGCTAATGAAGCTTTTAGAGAGTGCAGGGAAGAGGGATGTGGCTACAGCACTTGGCTACTAAATGGTTTTGAACATGAGCAGGATTACATCAAGTCTTTCAGGAGGAAATTGGTTGGGATGATTGATCCTTTGGTGGTATGATGTCAAGAGTATCTGAAGGACCTACAGGAAACTACAGGAACAAAGCACACAGGAAGTTTTGGTGGGGAACGATGGTAAAAAGAACTTGTCAGGAGCTGGGCTGCAGTGGTGAGGGAACACAGAGGGATGAGGGAGGCAGATGGGCCATGTGACGTGGATATTTCTGAATGGGTCAGGTTGTTCACTCACACCCATTCCAGTGATCCAGACATAATACAACTGAAGTTCGTGAAGCCAAGCACAGCTCTTCCCACATAGCGGCTTTTCCTGGAGATTGGACCCATGCCTTTTGCTTTGGCTCTGGTACTAAAATTTGAGAATAGCACTTTGACTGCCAAGATGAAATTGAAATACAACTCTTATCGCATGGAAGCCTTTCTTTTTTGTTTTTTTCAATTTCCTCTTTGTGCACTGACAATGAGAATATTGAAGTATAGGGATCTAACTTAACAGAGATTTTATTAATTCAAACGAATCAATTGGCAATGACTTTTTCTTTTAAAATATCATTTAAAATATGATTCTTATAATATCTACACCAGAATTGCCATGGGCAGTTGATTAGTACGTAGATCCAAGCAGCTTTGGAATCAGATTTCTATGGAATGAGCCTGGGAATATAAAAGGGAT